AGTAAAACAAGGTACTAAGGAGATCATGTACATATTTCTATGAGTTATGTATAATTTTATTTAATTTACCTAATTAGCTAAATAAAAAATACACTATGTTAATCTATTTCTTTTTCAGAGTAAAGTGTCAACGATGATTCTTTTTTTTTGAATCAAAAAGACTAGTTGCTATGCGTTTAACTGTTGTAAAAAGAAATTGATTGAACTTATAATAGCATTTCAAGTCATCTCTTCTCTTTGAAATAATATAAAATCATTCAAATGACAACAACAAGTATATCTCTGTCATATTACATTTGTAGACAAAAAAAAATGATAAATCGATAATTAACAGTACAATTTATCATTTACAGTCTACAATTAGTAATATTACATTTGCTTTATAATTTATCATTTGTAAATGAAATAATTCAGATTATTGTAAGTCATGATAGATGTATGAAACTGTCTACTTGTTCATAAAGAAATTAATGAGTATCTTCATTTGAAACATTATTCAAAGATTATCTCAATAGTTTAATAAACAAGCTAAAATCGATTCTTGTCGTCTTATAATAGTCTCTGATTCGTTTATTTTTGGGAACGTTAGATCCCTAGAACTCACTTCGTAAATGTTTTATTTTTGTAATTTTATATTAAAAATTCGAATTTCTTGTTTTCAAGCCATAAGTGCTCATTTTTATCTTCATGTCGTATTTCCAATTTGGGAGAACCTTAAACGCTATTGGTTTGTTTTATCTTTTCGTATGCTATTTTGTAATGTTTCTCAAGGATATTTTTATGCTTTATATATACGCTTGATTTGTGCTTGTTATTGTAGCTCGTCCTTTTGTCTGCTTGTGAAATATATTTCCTTCTTCTGAACTTGGATTTGTCTTTTTATTTAGTGGGGTTGGAACGTGTCGGAATAACTACGTTATTGGTCATCATATCAAAGAGTCTTCGTTCCATTCCCAGATTAGATGAAATCATTATCTCTTCAAATATAACAGAATATATAGATCTTTCAAAACATCTGTCATAAGTCAGTTCATTACAGTATACCATAGTCAATCAACACCATAAAACATTTTGATAATATTCTGTTGTCATTATATCAATGTTTTTTCCTTATAATCTACAGTTATAGTAAGAAAGTGAACAAGCAAATACCTGAAGTGAACAAATAAAAAGAAGATCAAATTAAACATTCAAATTTTTTCATGAATAATGATTATATATGTAATTTAGAAGCACCTCAATTGTTGTTACTATTAATGTAATTCGAATAGATCAACTACACAAATGTAAGTTAAGCTTTAATACTTGATTATTGCACTTCATCTTTTCAAAGCCCCATGATTATGAAGATTGAAAATGCTATAAAAATAAGAAATAAATTCAGCTTAACAGCCAGATTTAACTAGAATAGAATTAAAATTGTAATTAAAGTCCTATATTTCCTTTTTAATCAGCATTGAAAATATTTACAAACTTCTGAATAGTTGTATAAGAGTTGTTTATTCTAAACTTATTGCGGAGTACATTTACATAAACATTTAATTAAGAAGTGAGCCTATCATTTTCAACTCTGATGTTACAGCTGTCTAATTGTTATCGAAAGTCACAAGTAGGAAATATTATCAATTATTCGGTTAATTTATTTAAAACAGTTTACTATTCATTTAAAATTTAGTGAAATAGTATAAATTGTTAGCCTAATGATATAGTTTCTGGGACTAAAATTGTAGATCTCAAACTCAGTATATTGTATGATAAAGGTTGTTCATTGATGATAAATTTCAAATCGTTATTCTGTTTCTCAGGCATCTGAAATGATTTTCAGAAAACAAATTCACTACTTTAAACAAAGATGGATAGTGGCTAGCATTGAAGTCCAGAATGAGCGTTTCGTCCTACGTGGGACTCGTCAGACGGGTGCACTCGGGGCTCGAACCCAGTACCGTTCGTTTCAAACGCCAACGCGTTATCCAGTCAGCTACTGAGTCCTGATATATATATATATATATATATATATTTCTAATAGTTCGCATTACTTACCCTTCAGGAAATTATATACTATACTTTGATTTCTGGCAGTATTGAATCCACCTGTTTCCAAAAGAATAATATGAGACTTGTAGATGAATATGAAACTCTTTACCTTAAGTACCCCATAGTTTTTACTAATCAAATGTGATGTGAACTTCAAATTTTACATCATTTGTAAATTATGAGAAACTTTAGAATTAAGTATGTCCCACATCGTCATAAACTTGTGGCTACACTGAACCGTGATGGATAGTACTTTATCAACTCTAGAGAACAGTAAGCATTACATCAGATACTGGAAAATAACGGCTAATCCATGAAAATTATTGATTTATCTTCATGTTACTGAATTATTTAAAAGTAGTATACGTGTCAGAGGATAATGTATATAGAAATTTCAGCAGACATTTCTACATTTGATGCGTTCATGAAGTTAGAAAATAATTCTAAAAGTATTTGTTTTAAATCTGGGCAGTTTTTGAAACCAAAATTTCCTGAGATAAACTTGACTTCATTTAAACGTATGGTTAAAACAGCAAATCAAGTGTAATAAATTGGAACTACAACGTTTCGATTGTTAACTAGGGTCAAAAGTTCTAAAAATTAACTAAATAATGGAAACGTTAGTTTGGTATGCACCATAAATGTATTCTTCATGATCAGTTAACGTCATCAGATAGACACACTTGGTTATGATAAATTCTTACTTCTCAATTAATATATCCTTCCTGATGAATAATTAAGTTAGTAGAGAACCCACTTGTGTAGTATTACAGATTATAACCATAATGTATAAAACTCCGCATCAAGATTTTTTTATGTGCTATGAATTGTGATCAGCCATTTGAAGTATAAGTCGTACTAATTTTAAGAGTTCAAGATAATGAGCACTAATATTGGTCAATTCAGGTGCGAATACTGTAAGATAAACGTCGATTCGGTAAACAGATTTTCAATGGTTAAATTAATACAATTGGAGAAATTTGAAATGATGATACTCCAGTTGAGGTTGAATTATGGGGACCACTCTCAATTCTCCAAACAATGTATACGGTATTGATATGATCGTGTTACGTCAGTGAGGAGTCTATGCAAGGTGAAAACTATTGATCTAAATTAGATTTTGTTAAATATTAATGTTAAGTCCTCAGTGTTCATGGCTTTAGGAGTTGTGAGAGGTCACCTACTAAGACGAAATAGTTGTCCAATGTCCTGTAGTTTCCAATAATACCCCAACTGAGATAAATCTATGACTAAAGTGATCTCCTTCTACATTGATTATTAGATAAATGCTTATCAAGCTACATACATACGAAATATAGAATAAGTATTTCTACTCTTATGTAAACATGTATAATCGAGCTTTCGTGGTCGTCTCATTACATTCCGTTAACAATTTTATAATAAACTGGATTGATTTACTTTCTAGTTCAGTTTAATACCTTGAGTTTCATCAGACGTGACTAATTTATTTCAGTCTGTTAATGAAAAAGGAAATGTTTCAGACAATTAGCTGATGAATCTTATCGACATCATATTTTATTCTTAATGTTACAACGGAGACAATCTTATTTCATAGACAAAATTAATTTGAGATTACCGATTACCTAACACAGACTTAAATAACAGAATATATATTTATTATTAACCCTTTCAGTAACCTTGTTTTATCACAAGAAATGAACGCTGTGAAATAAAGATGAAATTCAGAAGAAAAATCAATTTGCTTTCTATAAATCATATCAGATGCTTACAAAACAGCTTAAAGATCTGAAACTAATCATGAGTGATTAGTAGCTGTCTAAGCTAGATACTCCAGATACGTGGTGGTGTACCATCATCATCAAAGTACTGTGATAGAAAATAAAGAGTAAAGATCCTTAACTTTTACGCTAATAGAAATAAAATAAGAATATGAAATGATTGGATATATATATATATTGCACTTCTATTCTCTAATTCGATCTGTGTTATCAGTTAGCATATACTGAGTGAAATTCAAATTGTTCCAATCTCCATAATTCTTTATTCTTAATTCAGTAAACGTTACATTCCCTTGTACATAGTATTATGCCACTTGTTGTTTGGAATATTAACAGAGAATAAATGATTATGAAAGATCTATTCGATACATGTAAAATATCAATAGTTGAGATGATAAATCAGTTGTACCTGAATCACCATTGAAAATCTGGAAGCACTGGACGGTCATTTCGTCGGATTGTGGGACTCCTCAACAATGCGCATCCACGATCGCGTCTCACGAGACTCAAACTCACGAACTATCAGTCACGCACGCGAACGCTTAACCTCTAAACCATAGAGTCGGCATCAAATTGACTCATCACCTCAACTATGAAAATTACTACAATATCCAAAAAATCCCTTCTGATACATTTGTAGTTGTTCATTTTATGGGGTTTTTATTGATGCGTGGGAGATATTGAATTTATCGAGTACCAATTCAGTGTTCTAATGATAACACATTGGCTTCCACGCCTCAAGATCCTACATTTCATTCCTGTTCGATTTATCAATGTTTACTGTTATTAAGTGGTATATGGTGATGACCATCCATGTCTCCTTAATTTTCAGTGATTGTGTAATTAAATTCAATCCGTCTTTTTGCAAATTATGTTTAAACACAAGCATAATATGAGTAATATTGATCGGTTGTAAATAGTTGTTTGGATCAAACCCTATATGTGGATTTCGTGCTAGTATACAACTTGTAGTAGGACATACCTGAAAACTTGAGGGGTTGAAATCAGCTTACCCCAACTTTTTAGTAGAATATACTTGAACAAAAAATGAAATCAAAATGAATTCAATCAATTATTTCTTATATTTTATTGAAAATTAAAAAAAAATATTTACAAATTTATTTAATAAATCAATATTATCGATTTAATATCATCAAAATAATTAAAGAAAAAAAAACAAATAACAATCAATAATAGAATTGATTTTTAATAATTTCCGCTATCTTGACGCGCTTTTAATATCATTTGTCGAAATTTTTGCGCTGAATTATAACGATTATCATTAGAATATATTTGTTTTATATTACATAATTTATTTGAATCTGATTTATATAATACATTTTGATTGATTAATTGAGATTTATTGATTAAATAAGATTTTTGTTTTAATTGTTTAAATGAATTTGAAATATCGGGTAAATGAATTTGTTCATCAAATTTTTGATTTGTATCATTTTGTAATTGTTTTATCTCTCTATTAATAAAAAAATTAAAAAAATAAATCACAAAGGAGTTTTTTGTGTGTAGATATTATAGTAACTTTTAATAGTTGAAATCATGAGTCAATTGAAGTTAGATTAACATGGAAAATTGGAAAGCACTGAACGGATCATGGATGCTTACTGTTGAAGAGTCCTACGATAGGACGAAACGATCGACTAATGCTATAAAAATATATTATATGTATTGCATTATAGAATAGTAATTGTAATAGTTATTTATCATCATCAATTGTAATGATAATATTCAATTTACAATAACATTTATTCTATAGCATAATAGAAATTGTATGAGGAAAGAAAACACAACTACAGCTATTAAATAATATGAAATCGGATTTGTAGAACAGTAAAAGATAGAAACACAAATATGTAAAACAAAAAAAGTGTGTATGCATACGCTAGTGGATAAGTGAATATTGAAATATTTTATCTATCATATGAATATTGTCTGAATATAAATGATACTCTTAAATAAGTTACATCTAGTTTTACAGAACAGCGAGACTATAGTTTATGAACAAACCAATCAGGTCTAAGATAGCAGGTCTTGGATTTTGGCGCAAAATGCACTCATCCATTTGACTAAATAGAGTTTTGGCATTTTATCTGATATCAGTTTGTGATGAAAACCCTAAATCTTATTCTTAACTTTAACCATCAACTGCAAATCATAATTCGAATTCCTCACACAGGTTTATAACCCTCATTTGCTCCTAGTTATCAGGTGGATACTCTCAATACCAGTTTAGCGTCGCTCAAAGGCCGTCCGTAAATTATAGTCTCGTTATTTTCTGCTGTCAGTTTTTCCACTTCCGAATGGTGTTACATATTAATTATGTCTGTTGACATAAATAGTGTACACCACAGGATCACTTATAAACATGGAATCATCAAACGTAGTATACATCTCAGAATTTACAATTAATATCTAACATTAATTAAATTAAATAAAACTAATTGTTACACTAGACTAAAACTCCAGGAAATACCTCTTGAAGCTAAACTGTGAGATAGTAACTCACTGAAGACAATGGTGAATATGTCGCTCAATTTCGTGAATTGGTTGGAGTTAGACATTAACACCGTTAGATGCCAACCCTTTCAGTGGTCCTGAGGTTAAGCGTTCAGGCGCAAGAACAACGTGTCCTGGGCTCGAACCTCACGATGCAGGATCGTGGATGAGCACTGCTGTGGAGACCCACAACAGGACAAAACGGCTGTTCAGTGCTTCCAGGTTTTTCATAGTGGTCTAGCTTCAATTAACTCATGATCTCAACTATTGAAATAAACAATCACATAAAATTAGTCTTATTGATCTAAATGTTACAAATGATTGTTCTTATTTATGCCGAATATTCTGTTTGATTTTATTGACTTACGAGGTGGATAATTTGTAGGTAGTTATTGATTTCCGTAGGACATTATTACTATTTGTAATAGTTTTGTTATTTTCTAAAGACAACATTTGCATTTGTCTACAGTGATTCGAATTCTGATGAAGAGACAACGAATCATGAACTGATTTTCTCTTAGATTTACTGGATGAAGATGAAGAAGAGGAATTCTCACTTGATGATCGATTTGACAATGAAACTGATGAACAAGGAACATCTGAACTGCTAAGTAACCCATTAATTGAATTTTGACTAAGGAGGAACTCTAAACCGCAAGACAGTTTCTGGTTAGTTATTGAAATGTTGTGAACTGGTTTGGTTTGAATGATATTGAATCTACTTGAAGGGTTTGACTGATATTTTCCTGTTCATGATTTAATGTACTAAAGTTTTCCAAAAGAGAATTCTTAGTGGAATTAAGAAAAACAGAAAAGACAAAGCTTGAAATATTTAAATAAATGTCAGTTTCTGTTTGACAGAGTAATAAATTAAAAAACCCTGATAAATAGTCATTCAGAGTAAATATCTCAGTCTTACAGAAAATAAGTCGGTGACCGAATAACTCGACGGTAAAGTCTCAGAAAGTTAGGGTAAATTAAGCTGATTTCAACCCCTCAAGTTTTCAGGTATGTCCTACTACAAGTTGTATACTAGCACGAAATCCACATATAGGGTTTGATCCAAACAACTATTTACAACCGATCAATATCACTCATATTATGCTTGTGTTTAAACATAATTTGCAAAAAGACGGATTGAATTTAATTACACAATCACTGAAAATTAAGGAGACATGGATGGTCATCACCATATACCACTTAATAACAGTAAACATTGATAAATCGAACAGGAATGAAATGTAGGATCTTGAGGCGTGGAAGCCAATGTGTTATCATTAGAACACTGAATTGGTACTCGATAAATTCAATATCTCCCACGCATCAATAAAAACCCCATAAAATGAACAACTACAAATGTATCAGAAGGGATTTTTTGGATATTGTAGTAATTTTCATAGTTGAGGTGATGAGTCAATTTGATGCCGACTCTATGGTTTAGAGGTTAAGCGTTCGCGTGCGTGACTGATAGTTCGTGAGTTTGAGTCTCGTGAGACGCGATCGTGGATGCGCATTGTTGAGGAGTCCCACAATCCGACGAAATGACCGTCCAGTGCTTCCAGATTTTCAATGGTGATTCAGGTACAACTGATTTATCATCTCAACTATTGATATTTTACATGTATCGAATAGATCTTTCATAATCATTTATTCTCTGTTAATATTCCAAACAACAAGTGGCATAATACTATGTACAAGGGAATGTAACGTTTACTGAATTAAGAATAAAGAATTATGGAGATTGGAACAATTTGAATTTCACTCAGTATATGCTAACTGATAACACAGATCGAATTAGAGAATAGAAGTGCAATATATATATACATATATATATATATATATATATATATATATATATATATATATATATATATATATATATCCAATCATTTCATATTCTTATTTTATTTCTATGAGCCTAAAAGTCATTGACTATTTCTGTAAAATACATATTCTTCATTTACAATTCAGTCTGTTGCTTTTATTTGAAGGGTGTCAATAAGTTTTGAATTGGAAATTGGGTTCATGCCATATTGTCAATATATAATAATATTTTCCATTAAGACATTGAATAAATAGTTCAAAGAAGAAATTTTTTTTCGATTTGCTCTTTATCATGTCTCTACAATTATAAATAGGCAAATCTTATTATTTGAAGTAGTAACAATCGACTTGGTGTCCGGAATTTGTGCTTAGATACTTGCACCTGTTACCCCTTGTCGAGAAGTATAGAATGTCAACCACGACTATCCAATCAACTCCGTACATGCTTCTGTTTCTCAGTTCTTATCAGGTGCTACTCGTTCATTTAATATCTGCCTCCAGTTCTCAGAGCAACGTGTTCCTTGGTTTGCTTCTTCTCCTTTTCCCTTAAGGATTTCGAGTTAGGGTTTGCCTCGTGAAGCAGTTTGATGATTTCCGTAATGTATGTCCTATCCATCTCCGGCATCTTTGCTTAATTTTCTTTTTCAGTTGGAAGCTGATTTGATCGCTCTCATAGTAAGCTGTTGCATTAAGTAGATAATTGTTTATAAATACTTGTACCTTTTATAATGGTTGTAGTAGTTATAGTGGCTCGATATCTGACTCCAACTATATCGTACGAATGATCGTAATTGAATGATTGTTGCCTAAATGCGCATGTTTCCAATCCCCGTATATAATCATTTACTGAAATCGCGTTATTGAATAACGGAATTAAATATGTCAAATACAACAATGAGTTTCGACTACGTACATTTCATATAACTGTTGATCCAGATAGACGATCAGGGAAATAAAGTGAAGAAAGCGAAGAGGAAAGAACGAAGCAAAACGGGTCGGAGGAGGCATATGAGCCAACTCGATTTTACCAACCGCGAATCGATATTTATAGTCAAACAAAAATAAGTTACAGACACAATGAATATGGTAAGTAATTAGCACACATACGATCATATAAAAAACAGTTCAGACTAATAAGTGACAGAGTGAAATGTGGCTTAGGCAAAATGAATACATTCATCTGTCCAGAGGCTAAAATAGCCTATCTGGGCTGGACATGGTACCAGCCCCCACAAGTTCTTGAAGTTTCGACTCCGTAAAATAGAACTATCTTGACGTTCGTATTGAAGCATCTGATTTTGATATCGGTTGACAGTTGTTTATAATTCCGTGTGTTCTTCACCCGTAGGAATGCTGCCCTTGCTTCGTCAATCCTCTAATTTACGTCTGCATCAGATTCTCCTTGATTATCGATGATGCCGCCCAGGCACGTCAAACTTTCCACTTTTCCAGAGCTCGTCCATAAAGTGTGATTGGGTTGGTTCTGACTATATTGCACTTCAGGATCTTGCTTTTTTGCCTGTGTATGTTGAGGCCTACTGATACAACGTCTTCTGCTACACTGGTTGTTTTGGACTTCATTTGCTGGTGTGTATGAAATAGAAGAGCTATATCATCTGCAGAGTCCAAATCATCTAGTTGCATCCAATCTGTTCATTGTATTCCGTAATTCAGTCAACCACTAGAAGAGAGAAATAGTGAGAGTGAGCACTTCTGTCTGACTCCGGTACTCATTTGGAATGCATCTATAAACTGCCCCCAATGCACGACTTTGCAGTTAAGTCCGTCGTATGAATTGCGGATGATGTTGGCGATCTTCTCAGCTACTTACAACACTGTTGAAGAAGGTTCCATAAGGTTCTATCCACTCTGTCAAACGCTTTCTCATAGTCAAGGAAGCTGATGTATAGTGACAAATTCCATTGGTTGACTGCTCAAAAATGATCCGTTGTGTCGCAATTCGTTCTGTGCACTATTGATCATTAAGGAATTCGCCCTGTTGATCTTGATGCTTATTATCTATGGAATCTTTTATCCGGCTCAGCAACACTCTGTTGAACAATTTTCCTGGTATCGAAAGTAGTGTGATTCTTCCGTAGTCCTCACACTTACTCAGATCTCCTTTTTTTGATATCTTGATTAGGTATCCTTCTTCCCGGTCTATCAGTGGCACATGTTCTTCCTCCCAAATCTTCCCGAATAGAACGTGGAGCATGTTTGTAGTTACTTCTATGTGTGACTTCAGTGCTTGAGCCGGTATGTTTTCAGGTGCTGCTGCTTTCCCACTGTAGGTATGCTTGGTGGCCGTCCTGGTTTCTTCGATCGTTTGTGGAGTGACATCTATAGGAAGGTCTGTGTGTACTGCTTCGATATTGTGTGGGTTCAATGTGGCTGGTCTATTCAAGAGTTCTTTAAAGTGTTATACCCAACTGTTCCTCTGTTCTTGAATCTTAGTGATCCTCTTGCCTTCTTTATCCTTGATCTGTCTCCCTGGTTTACTACATTTCCCTGATAGTTTCTTCGTTGTGTCATACAGTTATTTCATATTTCATTCTCTTGTAGTTTTTTCCGCTGTCATTGCTAGCTCTTCCCCGTATTTCTGCTTGTCGGCTTCAATGCTCCTCTTCACTTGCTTGTTTGATTCTGTGTATTCGGTCTGTGCACTGACTTTCTCGTTAGATGGTGGTTGGAGGTAGTCAACAGGAAACCCTGGACCCGGGTTTCGTGCTACTTGGCACTCGTCAGCAAGGTCTGCCTGTAATCTTGAGGGAACTGGTGCTCCCTGGCGGATTCGATCTCGTGTCACCCAGCTTCACAGTTAGAGACGTTACCACTGAGCTATCCGAGCCGTGACTAACCTCCTGTAGGACTGAGATGTAATCACAATTGATTGATCACTGGGTCCAGGGTTTCCTGTTGACTACCTCCGACCACCATCTAAATCTCAATACATAGTGCCCACAGTGTCGAGTCACCTAGACTGGTGGCCACATTGCAACATGATCGATAGCATTCGATCTGCACTAATAAGGACTAGACAAACATGACATTGATCACCACCCAGTGATCAATCAATTGTGATTATCTCTAGATTAAATACATGAATATTCTAAGGTAGAAAACCAAGAAGAGCACAGTTATCCTAATATATAAAATATAATGAACTAATTCTTTTGGTTTAAAAGATATACAGTCATGTTCTTAATTTTCAGAAAATGCAAACAGAAATTGAACATACCTGAATATTTTGTAAGTAAGTTTTCAAATGTGAGATTTCTGCAAGTATAGCATTTCTAAAATAAAATAAATGAAATATTTTACAACCGAACATACAAAAATTTTCTGATTGAGACCATGAACTGATTGATGTTAGAACACCGTTGAAAACCTGGAAGCACTGGACAACCGTTTCGGCCTATTGTGGGACTCCTCAGCAATGCGCATCCACCGTCCCGCTCGCTGGATTCGAACCCAGGGATTTCGGTCTCTCGCACGAACGCTTAACCTCTAGACCACTGAGTCGACATCCAATGGTGCTAATATCTAATCTCAATCCATCTTCCATTGCACTGAGGTAGATACCCTCACGAAGCTAGTCACTAGTGAGCACATGGTAATTATCAATCGGTTCATGATCTCAGCCAAAAACCTAATAATCTCCACAACCCTATTCTGATAATATAAAATTGTATCAAAAATAAGTACAAAATGGGTTATGTTCAATTTTCTGTATTTCATTTTTGTAAGTGTTTAGCCGTTGATCCTTTGTTTCATTTCATTATCATAAATTATTGCAGTAGGATTTGGAGATTAGGTTGACTGTTTAACGCTCCAAGCTTATCCTCCTCAATATAAAAGTGAGAGATAACAAATAAGCTAATATTGCTAGTCTGTTGTGTTCCGATAAGAATAATGAGTGGTAATTTTTTGGGATCTATTTATGGACCAATACTGTGAGTATATTTCTGTCGTACAATTGTTAATTAACTAAACTATTCGTATTCATATTCTATCTTATCATAATAAAAGGAATACACCCATTATGACATTAAATAAGAAAGAAAGATTAGTTCAGCGAAGAGTTCTCTTTTCGGCGAATTCATTTTCAAAACTGTACAATCGCAAATATGTATACCTATTTTTACAGGGTGATAATAATACTGATAATAAACTTCTGTTATACATGGTGACAGTGAGGTTAAATAAACAAAGGCAAAAAAATTTTAAACAAGGAAAGTTTAATAATCGTTTGATAGTTAATGGATGAAGTGTTCATTGGGTGAGGATGGCTCAGCATGATAAAACAAAATGTTGAAACAGAGATGAAATGTGATCGGAATGATTGTGGAAATAAAAACAAGAAGACGAAGAATCTGTAGACCCGAGGTCGTAGAGGAAGAATTGAGCCTTTTAAAGGAGATACTTATCAAAAACGGATATCCTTCTATATTCATTGATAAGAACATGAAGCCGAAAATGCCAAAACCACAAACAATTACAGTAGAAAAGAAAATTTTATACATGAACATCGATTTCAAAGGTGATAGAACCGCATATCTTAAAGAGGAGAATTTTGGATTCTTTAAAAAGAACATTCTTCGCAGCAACATTGCAGATATTATTCTCCAGCCGATCACTGGTCACCAATAATTTGAAAAATAAATTATCGCATCTGACCAACTCAATGTGCATTTACCAATTTACCTGCTCTTGTGGAGCTAGGTATATATGTCGTTCGATGCGTATTTTATCCAAAAGAGTTCAAGAACATTGTCCGGCGTGACTAAAAAGAGGAGGCAACGGCTCAATAAGAAGTTCTATGATCGAACACCTTGTGAACACAGGTCACTCAATCAAGACAAACTCTGCGTTCAAAGTCATCTACAAGGTAAGTAGAAGCCTTCCTAAAACAATTAGACTGCATCTTCTTTGCATCACCGAGGCAATAGCCATACATTTTGAAAAACCAGAATTATGTGTACAAAAGAGACTGGTACAACCTCTTCTTCTACCATGGTCTTAATGTATTAAAATTTTTTCTCTTTCTTCATACTCTTGTTCCCTTACAGCCACCTGCTTCACCTTCCATCTTCCCTTCAAATCTTCTAACCCCAACCGCTTTGTTTCTATTTCCACGATCATTCCGATCACATTTCATCTCTGTTTCAACATTTTGTTTTATCATGCTGAGCCATCCTCACCCAATGAACACTTCATCCATTACTATCAAACGATTATTAAACTTTCCTTGTTTAAAATTTTTTTGCCTTTGTTTATTTAACCTCACTGTCACCATGTATAACAGAAGTTTATTATCAGTATTATTATCACCCTGTAAAAATAGGTATACATATTTGCGATTGTACAGTTTTGAAAATGAATTCGCCGAAAAGAGAACTCTTCGCTGAACTAATCTTTCTTTCTTATTTAATATCTTATCATAAGCTTTATTTTAACCTACGAACTGTTATTATACGATTTTCCATTCTGGAATTATTCCCTGTCTATCAATCACTACCTCCCACATTCACAACCACATTTGGCCAAATCTTGTACACATGTTATTTTCTATTTTATGGTACGATATGGTCTGCTTGATTGGTATATAAACAGAGTATGTTTGAAATACATTATTCATACCGCAGAGGCTGAGACCGGTGTTCTGGACTTAACTGGCTGGGCTAGGCAGGAAACAGGGTCAATCAGGACTCTAAGCTGCTCTCAAGTGTTTTACGCGTCATTGGTCCGAACGATAAGTCACTGCCCTCTAATAGGCGGTCACAAGTTATAACAAATGGCGACGGGGTAAAAAGAAATACGATCCAAAGTGAGCCTGTAATTGGACGAAATTCAGTCTAATTATTTCGAGCAGTCAGCATCCAGATTTGCCATCAGTGTCCTTGAACGACATTGGTCATTATTTATATAGTAATTCTCATTATCGGTGCTGATTAAAAAAAAGACTCTCCCTTCCGATTGATTACAACTGCTATTTGAGGGACAGTTAAAGTTCCGAGTCAAATTACGCACGCAGCTGCTGAACTATTCATGCTTTGGAGATGCAACGGAAGTGGATGGATTGATTTCTCAATTGCACACTGAGCTGGAAAATGATTTCAGCCTCCATGAATCCTCCATAAACTGTACTCCAAACGAAACAGCAGTCATCCAAGATTCGCCCGGTGATCCAGTACTCTCCATTCCAAAAACATACACGGTAATGGATTCATACTCCATTGTCCCTGAAACAGCATGTACAGACAGTGACGTATACAGCTCACAAAAAGATTTAGTACTTCAACATAGGTGTAAATGGTTTGCTTAGCTTTCACCAGATTATTCAACCAGTAATGCGACATTACTATACAGATGAGCATGATGAACGGTAGCTTTTCTTGTGTCACTTTACAGCTGCATAACACGATCACTGAAAGAGGATAATGTAAAGCAATCACACGTAATGAACCATAATCATAGTCAAAATTCCACTCAGTTTTCAGGTTTTCTATTTAAGACCCACAATAAAGAAACCCAGTCAGTAAGTTTATGAACCACCATCAAGCAAGATGAATATATCGAGAATGATATACTGCTTATGACAAATAGCATACTAGCTAGTTTCTAAGTAAGTCGGAGAAACAATACAACATATAATCGCAGAATATCCTTGGGTTTCTCTACAAATTTTATACAAGATTGTTAAGTTTCTAATTGTATTCCTCGAGATAGTTATTTTCTACAGCTGGAAAACTAATAAATTATGAATAAAAATCAAAACTTCCCCGTAACCTTATAATTATAGGGTCTTGACCTTAATTTTTTTAAAACATACTACCCTTGCTACTTTACTTTCTATACTTATTTATTAATTTTAATGTTTACAATGAAATAATAGCTATTAAACACATCTGTTTTACATTTCTAATAAGAGAATCTATATGAACATATTATTTATAAACAATGTATTGCATAAAAAGGTACTAAGCTGATATGAGTAAACTATATACTTCTATGAAACTTTTAGTTTTACATCTAATAAAGGTCAGAACATTGATTTCAGAGTTTAACAATTACATCAAGGACTAAATAACTGATTAATTGTAGGGAAACTATAAAACGAGATAAATACTTTCAAATGTTAAAATATAACACATAATGAAACATTTGGAAAAATTCTGCCGTGTTGATAAAAGATAATAATAATAATAATAATAATAATAATAATAATAATAAAGTGATTACTCGAAATTCGACTTCAGTTAATTAGTTACCTTATTTTTTGAGTGTAATATTCAAGTTCAGATTCTTCTAAAATCCAGGAAAATTTTTCAAAAGAAAGTTATACGTAATGAATAACTTTTCATATTGTAACAAATATGTATATCATTTGATAACAAGTGTAGTTTAGATAATAACATAACGGCCAAAACTTTATCGCCTGGCTAAAATAAGCCAAATGTTGTTAAACACATCACAGTGCTTCGTTTAATTACCACACTTAAACACAGTAACACAATTTGAATTACATAAGCATCTAATATTTACCATATCACTGAAAGTGTTGAGTTTGTATTCACGAGTCATAACTCAGTAATGAATATATATAATTTAAGTCATCACTGATGCTAGGGAGAATTTCGCTGTTTATATCAAAAAGTTATTTATTATTCATTTTATTTGCTACGTGTATCATCCGTTTCAATGTGTAAATCTTCAAGTGAATATTATACGAGTTATTTTCATTTTTAAGTGAACATGTATGACTGGAACTAAGCCTCACAAGTTTTTACATTGTAAATGTGATACAAAACTTCTTTTTTATCATAATAAGTGAAATTCTAAACGTTTTTTTACGATAATTGTGTTTCATGGTACCAAATTTTTCACCTATTTCTGTTCCAATTGTTTCATCATTGTGTGTTATATTAGCTTACCAAATCTGTTGTTATTAATCAAACTATTGCCTGTAGTAAATTGCTTTTAATGATGGTAGAATCACTAAATGTAATATTAGAGAAAACTAAAACCAGAAAAATCATTTACAAATAGTACCATGGAAACTACACTTTTCTAAAAAGCTATAATGACAGCTGATATATTGACTCTCTTGCAAAGTCAGTAATAAATCACTGGAATAAAAAAGGTGCATAAAATATTTTCAGTATGGAGATTTGTGAAGATTGTAGTATTTTCACGGTTTAATTCACAGGTCGATTTAAACCAGACCAACATTGAAAACGCAGTAACACTGGACGGCCGTTTCGTCCCAGTGTGGAGCTCCTAAACAATGGGCATCCGCAATCCAGTTTTTGGGGCTCGAACCTGAGACTTTCGGTCGAACGCTCAAACGCCTAGCCTCTGGACCATTGAGCCTGCTTCCAACGGCGTTAATAACCAACTCTAACTGTTCCGTGATCTTGCGCATCGCTGAGGAGCCTCATACTAAAATGAAACAGCCGTCCAATGATTTAGGGTTTTCAATGGTGGTCTAGCTTAGGTCATCTCGTTAATTCAATTATAAAATAGTTCTTAAAAGTAAGAATCTCCATAACATTCGCGACGTTATAAATATGGTAGGTGAAGTTATTTAATTGTAGTCTTCTAAAGGAATTCCTAGAGAGCTCACCTTTCACATCATCAAATGTTTGATCAGGATTATCGTGCTTTGATCTGCTCCATTATATTTGAGCAAACGGAATTCAACTTACTTTCCGATGGAATTTAAATAAAGGAAAGAGAAATACTCCACGTCAGTTGAGCAATTTGAAGAATCTAGAGAGGTTGGTAGAAAAGAATCGTTATTGTTGGCTAGTTCTAAAACAGAAATAATCTGTCAGCTAGCTTATCAAAATATGATAGCTTACTTCAGATTTTAATTCCAATGTCTGATCAATAAGATCTTCCCCAATGATACAGCGGGCTTCATAAAAATGCACTGGTGGCAAACAGCTCATTATCCGCTCCCATATTAAGCAAGGAAGACAGCTTAATGCCATTACGGTACAAGTTTATTGTTCAACAATATCACAGATTTAAGATCCTTGGTAGTTCAGGATGTGAGAAAAATATTTGCGAATTCTATAATCGATCCGAATTCCGATACATGAACTGAGATAAATAACATGGTTGCATTCCAAGAATAAAATCAATCGTTGTCTTTCTATCATAAACTGAACTATTTAACAATTTCAAAGCCAGAAATCAAAAGTAATCTGAAGGAATCTTGATATTATCACTAATATATATCTCTATAAAAAAGAACACAACCCAGCTACTAACCTGAGTTTTATCTGATCATTAAAATCCATCTTTTGAAAAGAAAACAAAGGGTGAAAGTATCAAAGAAAAACGCAGTGCATTTAGAAATTTCAACACCTGAATTGTGTAAACTCCATGAAGTTAAAATAATTCTTATAGAGATCAAGGTTAATATGTTTAGGATCATTTCATGAGATGGGAAATAAATATATAGAGTAGGCTAATCCAAATAATAGAAAGGTGAAGAATGGCAATCAGTATATAAAAACACTAGGACATGGAAACTACAAACGAAATATAACACATTTTGTTCCTCAAAGCTAGTAACAAACTTTGAAAATTTTGGTTGACGTTAGAGTTACATAGCTTGGAATTGTAATATTCATACAATGAAGGAAGTGTTCAGTTTCATATATTATTGTATCAGAAATCACGACATCGAAAATCCGGTGAAAACTCCAAGTATCACAAAATGTCAAAAGTGTTACGAAAGCTCGTAAACACGAATTAGAATATAAAATTTATAAATTAACCTTGAGAGACTAGTCTTTTTAGACTGTGATAAAAACTGAGATAGCACTTAAAACCCTGTTTATCTATCATAAAGATGTGTGACAAAACATAATTTCTGAAGAAAGAGAATGTCTCATTTAATATTTAGGGTTTTATGCTGTCGTTCTAATTTTGATGGCCTAATATGTAAGTAAATACGACATACAGTATGTGATATTCAAAACATTTGTCCCTATGTTTTAGAGACCGTTGTAAATTGGCTAGAAACTGTTATATAGACACCTGGTAGAACAACGTCTGCAAACATATTGAAGATCTACATTTCTTCTGATGAGATGACCCGAGCCTTAGATAGAAGAGGTGGATGACGGTCGGCAGCGTAATGTGAAACCTCTACGCTAGTATTTACAACAGGAGAAGCATCTTGTGATAAGTTTAAACTTGGTCTGACGTGAATACGTGATCGAGTGTCTTCAGCTGGCCAGTGTTTTGTAATACTAAAACGGTCAGCATCAATGTTGAGTGCTTACAAAACAATTCATTCTTTGGGGTTATCTACCAGTATGGCTTTTTTCTCTGTCATTACTCATAGAAAAAAAGGTTTTATAAAATAGGTTCGAAACATCATAAAACTTGCTGGCAAAATTTTTGGCGCCATTTAAGACGGTCTCCACATCAAAAGTCAAGTGAAACCAAATTGTTTAGATCACCGTCAGTGTATATATCAAGCTTAAATGACCTTGACAATCCGTTGGTTCTGAAATCTAGATTATCAAAAAGTACCAGGTTGCTTCAGAATCCCTAGATTTGCAAAAAGAGGGATCCATACAAAACATAAATTCAACTGTTTAATCAAAACTAATTATGTTTAGCAACAAGTAGACACATTTTGACTTCACTCACTGCATATTCTACTCGAAATCAAATAAACGTAAAGGACCTTTTTAACTACAAACGTAAAATTTACTGAGTTTTTAGCCATAATAATATATAAACACAGTTTAACGGGATTATTAAATTTTTTAAAAAATGACCACCGTAAAAAATAAGAAACTAATCAACAAACCTGACGTGGAAATAGAATATTAATGTTCAAGTAGTGGAAGTGCTTAAGGATGTCTGAAATTAACAACATTACTCGAAATAATAAATTTACAACAAGTAAACCAAACACAGTTAACCAGTTGGGGCGTTCAATAGCTAAAATCTGCGTAACAGAAATCACCATATCAATATGTTGATCAACAGAATTCTGAATCTGTGTACAGTTGCAAAACTTTAATAGTTTTTCTCACAGTATCGAAAGAAATCAAAAACACATAATGTGCTGCACATATTTTTAATTCATAACTTTAGCAACATAAGTAACACTTCTACTCACGATACGAGACACACTAACCCAATTTCCCAGTTTTCGGACAAATTCGACCCCTTTTCGGGAAGCTGCTATAGAAAGAGTTTTCTACTAATCGATCAATAAAAAATTCGAATTCAAAGTCTACAGGCTTTTTATAGACTGCAAAACAAATATCAATGTATTTTAATTAGGGTAAAAACAATTTATTTTGAGAATTTCAAAAGACAACGAACATGTCAGTATAGCAACTACATTGAAAAGAAAATTGAATTACCGTACTGTCAGTAAATGGAAACAGTAAATTAATTGAAACAGTAAAACAAACATTATACGAATTCTGTAAGTACATTAAAAAGAAGATATGGCCATCTCCTACATATATTGACATATACGTCTCACATATTTCTATTGTCTTAGTTTAAAAACATTATTTACATTCAAAATTTTAGTGCGATCCTGATAGATAAGTGGGCTTGAAAATGATCAGAAACACCATAAATATTTTGTTTGTTTTTTGAATAAGTTCGAAAATATACAAAGACTTTCATTTCAAAACGCATAATACCGTAGAATCCTAAATGCTTACAAATGGTTCAGTTGGAAACTACGATTTTTCTGTAATCCAATGTGAAGAAAAACATGACGTCGTTCCAGAATCAGAAATTAAACGCACAACCTGAGAAGCTTATGCTGTACATATTCGTTAAGCTTATCAATTAATGTATCGACCACTTTCTGTAATTGTTTTTCCAACTAACTAACAGTAAATGGCTGCGTTAACAAGGGATGTTAATCGTACACCGTGAGTGTTATTGGAAGTCAGTAACCCAAAATCGTCGTTTGAATATACCAAGAGGATTCCACCTTGGATCATAAGGGAGACATAAGCCATTTAGGTATTAAATTAAAAATACTATATACCATAATCACAGTTATTGTTTTTATATAGATCCCTTTCGGTGAACCAAAATTATCTGCAGATTGAGAAAGTTCGGTTTATTTGTGGACGAAGAATTTTGCTGTCCTGTTCTCCAGGTAACTGAATTGTGTGAAATTATATTGACCTCACTTTCGGATGAAAAAGCAACACCTTTCTCTTGATCATACAAATGGGGCGGCATTGATTTTGCAAACCAATCCCCATATTACACAAACGAGGTTTTGGTAATTTAATAAGTATTGTCTACAGCAGGATAAGTGTTTTCATTTGAATCACCCGTTTAGTGAGCGTGTGCAGCTTCTGATGAAGATGAACGTAATTCGAAAAAACATTTATAAAAGGTCATAAAAATATACATTTAATCCAAAGAAATAGTGATTTGACAAACTCAGTCTATCAGGTCGTTCATTCGCGATTTTAAAAATGCTTGTTTTTGCGAACAAATTACGAAGGATTATGAGCCTGTCTGTCTTTACTTAGAAACGAAGAATTATTTGACTGATAATATAAGATTGTGGTCCGAGACGTTTTTTACAAATAAAAAGCACCCACTAACGATGACTGACAGAGCTATTTATTTTGGGGACTTATTTACTACTACAGACTTTTATTTGGAATCCTGGATCAAGTTTCAACACTACAAATCAGTGAACAATTAGAACTCCGATTACATGTGAATAGGTAAGATAAACTTCGAGTATGATTTTAAAAATGTAATGGTAGATTGAGAGTACGAAATTTACCCAGCCCGATTGATACTTCAAAAGTAATTGTTTCACAAAGTTCAGCTTATTGATAGTTAAGGGAAATTCATTGTAATCGATGAGGACGAATGACTGAAAATTGTAGCTCTTTACTAATGTTCATTAACCTACAAATCAGACCGCTTATGAGACCTGTATTTTCCTTCAATCAAAGATGATCATACTACGGAATTCATTTATATACTCCATAGCCTTTTAACATCGAACATAAAGAAAAAGATAAAATGAGGTATTTATCTACAGAACATACGATGATAGTGTTACAAACACAAGTAACACAATGATTTCAGCCAAAAATATGAGAAAAACATACCGTTTTTTTATGGACGAGATGTGGTTTACTTTCATCCATGAACACTCTTAATCGACCAATATGGGAAGGAAAGTACACTGTAAGAACTTTAATGTATAATATAATAGTTTAGTTCTTCTTCGAAACCAAATTTTAAACATTATTTCAACTGTATGAAGTAAAATAAAGCACACGTTAAGTTTATCAGCCATATTTGGCAGTAAATGTCTAATTTGACTACCCGTATATTCACGATTAGTCAAATGGAGAACAATTAGGTTTATTTGTATTATTAAAAATTGTGAATCACTCTCAAACCATAAAAATTCCGTTTACTTGTTCTGGTTGCAAGGAATTGTCAATGACTTTCCATCTGCTGCTTTTTGTATGAATTTCAAATTAACTACGAGAAACATTTCTAGCAGTACGAACTATATACAGCATTACGGTTGTAATTTATTGAATGTTAGTAACAAATAAAACTGATAAGGTTGAGGCTATTTTTTACTGTCTTAATGCTATATTATCTGTTTGATATAACATTCATTGTTTATCTACTCCACTAAATTAAATTTCAATGATACCGCTATTTTAAGTTTCGAACTACATATCGTGATCTATGCAACATCACACAGCTAACTTATTATCAAAAAATGGAAAAAGGTCGGAAAGATACACACAAAAGGAACTGAGATTTTTAATCGAGGAAGTTCGGAAGTATCCAAATATTATAGAGTCACCGAATAGTCATAGTGAGACAAAACACAGGAAGTTTGTATTATGGCAGCACATTTCAAAAAAGTTACAAAACAAATTCCCTGATTCTAGCTGCAAATCTCCAATTCAGCTCAGAAACTGGTGGAAAAGAACTAAAAGTAGGGCTAAACAACGTCTTTCGTGTGGACCATTTTCGATGGAAAAATGTAAATTCACTGAAAATGGTATCAGAGAAGTTCATGAAAACAGCCGAGGATACCTGGAGACTATATTTTCTGAAATCTGTGAGTTCAGGCGTCAGATAATGATTTCTTATACACCAGAGAAAGAGGATTCAGAATTTATGAAATTTTTAGAGGAAACATCAGAAGATTATTGTTCAGAAGATGGAGAACGCGTAGGTGGACCTTCAGAATCTAGCGAGTTTGAAAACGATTCATCAACAGAATTATTTGGGGCCTTTTCACGTGGAAAAGTCGTATCTTTTAGTTGCAATCGCAGCATAGATTTGCTAGAAAATAATCACATTCGAAGTTCAAGTCCCAAAGATGCTCATAAAGTGACTAATATTTCTTCTCAAAATTTTTTCGATTGCCAATCAACCGAAACAATTCTAAAAAAATATAATGAAGGCGAATCTATATTACAGAAGGATAATACTAGTGGTCTACTTAGCCAGATTTTCACAAACGCAGCAGCGGATTTTTTATCGAACTATAAATATTTAATTGAGAATCCATCACTTTGTAATATGAGCGGAATGTATTATTCTGACACCGATATGTCGTATAAAAATTCTAAAGAAAACAGTGGTGACGGTTTGACAGAAGAATCAAGTTTGAGTGGAAATTCGTCTTCGTTCTTGACCGAAGCTTCTAAAAACCTTGAACTGTCAACGAATGAAAATAGTGTGTTTTGCATTCCTTCAGTTTCAAGTCATTCTAACTGTATTCCAATGCTAAATGCGTCTAACTCATTCAGAAACATTAATAATGGCTCTGACTGTTCGTTTTTGTGGCTGGAACTGATGCAAATAGATAATGAAATACTTAAACTTAAAAAGCGAAAACTGGATCTAGAAATTACTATATCAGATGACTGCCTGAATAATTATCTGCAAAAAACTACATGTACCGTAAATGCATAACATAGCGTATCGATGACTGAAATAATTATAAATAAAGTTTTTTTAAGCCAGTATATTTATATATGCCAGTACATGCCGGGTTCGGATAAATGTGCCCATGTTGATATATAGGTTAGAACACTTAGCCAAAATCTTGCATTGATGTATAAGAAGGTTAGGCCAACATTAACTATTCACTGATCAAGGAAGTTTCGCTGGAATATTAATGTCACCTCAACGTCTTTGAACTCTCGACGATATGATTTTGCCGACAGTTGATTATTTGAGAATTCCATACCGCATGTTTTTGAATGAAGTATTTACTGTTGACTAAATAGAGAAACAGCTAGATGACCTACTGTGCAAGTTGAAAAAAGCGTTGTAACAATTAAGTTTATAACGAGTGTAGGAGTTACTTAGTTCACTTAATTTGTGAGGGAAGCTAATTGTGTAGTTCTATAGTACGTTGACTAATTTTTTTGTCGTAAATCATTCCTTTCGTCAAAGTCAAAAGAATACATTAATCACAAATATCTTTTTACGTTAACATTTTTTAAACAGGCTCTTGTTTTAAGCATATATTACTCCGAGTGTTTGGCTACTGAGGTATGAAAAATCGTTTTCCCTCCATGAAATAACTAATTAATTAAGACCACAAGCGTTTAAAATTTAATAAGAAACACATTGTTCCTAATATTTTCCAGTATAAGCTGAAAATCCCGTTAATATTCCATATACATCGTCAATTTATGGTGCCTTATATGTTAGTATATGTAAAAGCTGATAAAATTATATTAGAAACAGTGTCTTTTGTAATTATCATCCGAACCAACTTTAAAATAAACGTATATATTTAGTTACATACCCAAGTAGTTAGGAGAGAGTTTTATGGTTATTAGAGTGCTACAAAGCCTAATATGCAATTTTCATCGAAATCTTTATGAATCATAAATAGTTAGAAAAACTAAAGCGTCATATGAAACATGAGTTGTGGGTAAACTTCTAAAAACACCCCAAATACAGCTTGAAAATGCATAACAACAAAGTAACTAGTAGTATTTATAAAATAAAAGCTAAAAGTAGGAATCATAAGTGAGTACAGGCCATTTTTCATTTCTTATTTCTAATTGAACGCTTATTTGCCCATAGCTAAAATAATAAGCATTATTACTAACACTCAATGTTCGATTTTCACTACAAGACATATTTTTACTCATCTACCAGACTAGAATAACAAGCTTGTTCTTTTCAATGCTTGATGTGGGTTGGATCACTTATCGAGAAAACGGCGCCAAATAATCTTTCAATATACATAAGCGCGGAACAAAAATGTGTTAAAGTGTACTTCAGTACTTGTCTATTTTTAGTTAAACCCCAAAAGCAAACCATGCACTAGCTTCCAAAATGTAGTTTTATCAAAATTTCACTTGCCCAGTGTTCCAAGTGAGTTATAATTTGACTTTGAAGAAATGATGGGATGTTACGGTCTTTAAGTCATGGTATTAAGCCGAAGAAACTCTAAACCAATACGTATACATACATAAGGTTATAAGGGTGTGTTTTTGATATAACTTTCAATATGTAGAGATTTTATACCCGTATTAAAACAGCAGTTTGTGATGCATTTGAATAGATTTTATATCGTTCGAACTCTCTCGAAAACCGCTTGATCAAGTTCTGCTAATAAGAAGCAAAATGACGAGTTATTATAAAGACAACGTCCCCTTGTAGCCATATAACTTAGTGAAGCCAATTGGCTTATCTGGACACTGATGACAACACAAATACTAGGGTGCAATAACTGCTTTTTTCTTGATTTTACCTTTTCTTATTTCATATCCAACGGTCGCAGACCATTTTTGAACCATATAGTGTTGATCATCCGCACGTTGCTCTTTTTCACATTCATCGAGACTTCACTGTCCTATGTATTGTCGTTCGCTGTCCAAATCCATTTATTTTTTGTAGACGATATGACTTTGTGTCATAACAGCCATCCTTGTATTTTTTTTATCTGAGACAATATTTTACTACACATGCATAGATATCTATTTTTATGGTTGGGATGTCTAAACAGTTATTGCTTAGGCGCTCTTGTGTCTGCACAACTCTTTACATAGGCCTTCCGTAACTTGAGCTCGCTTTATATCGTGCTATTCATTATTTTCCACATGATAGTATTCTTTCTTTGATTGTCCGTGCCCCATAAGTTCAGGCTCTTTTGTCTAATTTTCTCAGTTTAGTAGCATAATGTTCTCTTCAGAATCATCCTCACAGTATTCAACACTGTTTCTAAAGACATCTACTGTTTCTGACACCGAAAAGCTCAAATAGATAGTTCTATTCTGATAGCCATCAGTACATCATACTTACTGAATTACGTAAGATGCATCCTAAACAGAATAATAGACAAAATATAGTTGTGCTTCTTAAATTTGAATGATATCTCGCTCAAAAACTTTAAAATTATCTCAGCATATTAAGTGAATATTAACAGGGAAATACGTACAGGCCACTTAACTGTTATTATAAAGCTAATAACATTGAAAAAGTCACTCCAAGATTTCTCACGTTCGTTTCCATAGTTCAGTACCATATAACATCAGGAAAGCACCGACGAGATTTATTTTGTAGCCGCATAATAAGCGCCGGCAATATGCTTTGTCTCATTTATCAAAATCATACAATTATTTTAGTGTTCATTGAAGCATGAATTATCTACATCTCACAAAGCCAACTTTTACTAAACAATTTGTGTTTTAATACCTATTTCATTCTCTAGACAACACTTTTATAACATGCTTTTAATGCACGTATCATGTCTCACGAAGTTTGTAAAGCATCAACAAATTCACTATAGGATTCTAGACAACTAGCTATTTAGTAAGGATTTTAATTTATAGTTACAGATACAAAGGATCAGCTTCTGTTGTTATATATGCATCCAGAGTGACTCTGTAGCTCAGTGTATAATGCGTTGACACTTTAAGTCAAAGGTACTGGGTTGGAATATTGTAGCGATTACTAACTTTCCGGTACAGGTAAATCCAGCTGACTAATCTTTAATAAAATGAAACACACAGTCAGTTACATAGCAAATATACTAGAATTAGCTGGTTGATTTAAGAAAAAAACTGTTGTTAATTAGGTTTCAATTTTTATTTCAACCTCATATTCGAAGTCACAAACACAGTGTGTAAGGTTGTAAACTGCTCTTGGATAATGTATGGGGGATGAAAAGTCCAGCCAGAATGTAAGGGCGATATACGATTTCATAACCGACCAATATTTACACCTTCAAAAAATTACCAAATTATGTCTTTCTGTAACTACAAGTACTTATCATACACTTATTTATGAAAATATGTTGTTGTTAGCACCACTTAGGTGGATGATTGATATGCTTAGATTACACATCGGTCGAACGTTTACAGTACCAGTATATTCGCTGAATTATAGACAGGCCTAGTAAAACTGTAATTTGGTGATGCTTAACAAACCTACTTTTGATTATTCTTAACTAATCTCAACAAAATGAGCGGGACATTAAATACATGCAAAAGTGTATCACATCTGACACCGTTTTGACGACTTTCTATATTGTTCACAAACTCCATATAACTATCACCCAACGAAAAATATAATTCGGGAATTAGCAACTGATTGCAATTAACTCTCAGGTGAGATCATGATCTGCTGCAAGAAGACGATTTCATGAGTCGGCAGACTGCTGCACTATAATTCAGTGTTTGTCACAAAACCTAAAAACGCTGGATTTGGTAGCAATCGGCTACTACGGAATAATTTCGTTGTGAAATTGGCCAGTATTTCTTGCTACTCAATAGTTATCGAACTGATATTAATTTTTTTTTGAGAATTGCTCTTAGAAATTTAAGGGGATCTACACAAGAGCATCTTTTACAGTACATTGACATATATCAAGACGAATGAAAATTCCGTGAATGTATTATAGATTAGGATAACCATCTTATTTGCTAAGTGATATGATGGAAACAAAAGTCAATTTTCGATCGGTTTACTCATTATGAGTTTAGTCCAAGAGTACTTCCGTTTGATTCAATGTAATGATTACTCAATGCAGTATTCGGATTTGTTTTCTCGTATGATATTTTATTCTGTATAATATACGATATTCTTGTAGTTCATTAACATGAACTATGCTCAGTCTGTGATTTGTTATACGTCTAAGTATATTTCATATATGTGATTTCATCCTAATTATTAATCAAAATGGGTGTACAATCAATATATAAATGAGTGTATTTTCTACTAGTCATCGTGTTTTGGGGTTAATAAATCATCATTTATACGAGTCTTTGTGTTCTTACTTTCGCGTCGTGGGAATTGCTGAGGTCCCTCGTTCCGAGTATAATTGATAAGCGTATCCGACATAACAATCAGCGACGACCAGATACAAAAAGTAGCATTAAAAGAGCCAAGACAATAAGCATTCAAACGACAAATTCTAACACTAAGCATGTTGTTCTATAAGTGCAGTTACTGATCTAAATTTTTGAAAGTGATTCCACCACCACAACCGTCTCAGCAAACGGAGGCCCATAAAATGTCTTACAAGATTGGTCCAACAACCAAGGCTATAGTAAACAGAAAGCATTCTATATTCGCAACCATATCACGTTCAATAAAAATACAATTAAACTGTCATATAGGTAACAAAATGTCAAAATGCAAGTATAACAATAATGTGGAAGAGAGGAAATCACATCGTTGTTGTGCTAATTATAATAAATCCAAACAGGATAACAATGAAAATAAGTAAACCGAGTGTTTTTCGAAGGAAACCTGATTAAAAGTTGGAAATAAATCAAACATGAACTTAAAACTACACAAAAGGCAAATGATTATAAAGTAACGTAAATAAGAGATAAAACGACTAGTATGAGTAAACATTAGAACAATTCTATTTCATACAATCACTTAAAACAGTATTGTTAATTGTTATTATAAACCTGATTAACAATTAATATCAATATGAAACTAGTAAAATAGAAGTTTATTTTTTTTTGTGTGCATACATTACTCAAACTACGTTGATGCACTCTTTTTGTTATTGTATGCGATAAGTTAGTCGATTTAGACAAACAGAACTTTAAACCGGTATGCTTCAAAAGCAGGAATAGAGTACGTTGAGGACAACACAGAGATAGAAAAAAGAGGGAGTTAGAAAATGAAACGAAGTTGTCCATGGGGCAACATACATATACATATATTAGAGACATCTGTCATTAAAATAAAATTTGTTGCACTGTCTGTAAGCCAACAGCATTCATGTATTCAAAAAAAATTACAAAAAATGTGAACTACAAAAAGGAAAACATAAGTGCAAAAAATAAACTATATCCGATGAATCGATAGGACACACATCAAAAATGATACTGAAATTCAAAGTTTGGCGATTTGATATTTTAAATAAATGTCAGATTAAAACAAGCAGATTTGGAACCAAATCAGTTTAAAAAGGAAAACTAAAATTTCAACATTTTTTACAGTACATATATAACTATGGCAAAGTTTCAAAACATATTAATATATTTATTTACTCATAAATACAAAATAGACGTTTATAGCGAGTTTAACGGAGCTGAATCCGATGAGTCGACATCATAATTTCCTAGCAATCCCGTTGAACTATGATTGTAGTCTATACTGTTCTCATTTCCATATGTATGTGACCACCGATCTAGGGAATCATCACGTCCGCATTCCTTAACAGATTGAATACAATTAGAACTAGTATTGCATGACATTAAGTGAGGAACATCCTTAAGATGTGAATTCATTGCACCCGACAAGACCTTAGGTGAAAAATCAGAGGCCTAGAAAAGAATACATGATAAAACACAAAAATAAGACAATGAAATCGGTAATGTAATGATTGATTCATTAAGACAAGGTCAGTACTTAAGACTTTAAGTCCGGTAAATGGTGTATTTCGTCCAGCGATTTGTTTCCAACGTCAATTATTATACGTGTATAAAAGTACTTAGTTAAATTTACAGTAGATTTATGTGCAGTAAGGAACGCAAGAATACTTTTTGACAATCCTAATGTTTAAGTATGAGACCATGCAAGAAATTTGACGAAACATTTGAGAATACATAGCAGATACATGTCCTAACAGGTAGTACGAGAAATGACCCACTGATGTGACACTTAAATATCACACGTCTTAGGGGATTGACCTCGCAACAGTAACTGCACAGAAATGTACACTCACTTTGGAACCACGAAAAATAAATCCGATTATTTTAGATGAATGAACGAAAAATATATATTTATTAGAATAAATTATAAAAATCAATATGACAATGATAAACTTGAAGGGTTATATTCAGATAAAATTAAAAACTTACAGCTAAGTCTATTTGTAATAATCCTGGAGATTCTGTACCACCATCTGGTGAAGTAGAATGGTCTACTGCAGAGTCAATATTACTAGACAATGAATTACTTTTGACCATTTCAGATACTTTTCGATTCTGTGCATACCCTTTTTGATTTGATTTATTTAAAAAGTCTTCATTGTTAGCAGCAGGAAGTTTTGCCGTAAGAAGCTCAGGTGCTGGGATTTTAGAAGTAGAATTCTTGAAAGAATCCCTAGAACCTGATATCATTGAACTGTTCACCATGCCGGGAGAGCGCGAAATAGAACGATCCTGCTTCTTCAGCGGAACATTTAAATGAAATTGAGAATCTATATATGCATGAAAGTGGAATTCCGACATTAACACGTTAAAATAAAACTCAATTTCAAAAATTTCGAATCAATATATACTTAAGAAAGAGCAAATTCACAAAGTTTGGGTATACAATGCCCAAAATTTCTATTATTGCTAAAACATTTTTACACATGTTTGTGAAATATAATAGCTAACAGACTAAATGTAATAGTAAAATTTAGAAAAATAATCATGCTGAAATAACAGAAAACTTTTACATGCCCATTTTCCAGTTACTTGTAAGTAGTGTGAGATTAAATCGTTAATAATGACTGGGACATAAGCTTATTATTTTATAAACGAGAAATTAAACTAATGGTACAAAAAGACAAAAAAAAATAATATCATTTGAATACGTTACATATGAAATGTATATACACGAAGACGTACTAAAATAACTCACAATATAACAGGTTATTCACCAAAAAAATCATAATTTCAATAGTTGAGTTCATGAGCCAATTGAAGCTAGACTACCATGGAAAACCTGGAAGCACTGGACGACCGCTTCGTCCTATTGTAGAATTCCTCAGCAGTGAGTATCCACGATCCCAACCAATGAGATTCAAACCCAGGAAATATTGTTCTCGCGCGCGAACGCTTAACCACTAAACTACTGAGCCGGCAATACAATGGTGTTAATGTCAACCTTCAACTAATCCACGAAACTGAGCGACACATCCCCCATTGTCTTCATTGAGTTACTATATCCACTGATCACTGCTTCTCACCAAAACTTCAGGAAATACTTCTTGAAGCCAGTCACTAGTGAACATATGCTGATTAGTATTAGAATGATAATAGTCAGGTGGCGATAAATCAAATACTAAATTTGGAATTAAATTCACTTATAGTTGGAGACGTTGGATAGGATAGCAATGCACACGATTACAGTGACCTAGAAACATCCACTCTTTTTTCCGAAAGTTTTTACCTTTTATCCTTCAAATGGATTTTTTTTCTCCAAGCATATAATCTATGCCTAACTATGTTTTTACTTATACGAATTCTATTACTCTGGGCATTTATCTGGGTAATTTCATCTCGCTGTTCTGACGTGGTATGGTAACGCAAACTGATCCACATATGAGCCGGGTTAAAAGTCAAATCAATAATGCTGCCTAATTCCATTGCATTTAATGAACAAAAAAATGACATAATAAAGTGGTCAATATTGATGAAAAACAGCATAATAATCTCATGTTTTCTTCCATGAACAATATCAGTAACCAGATCAAAAAAGTCCATTAGTTTTTTTTGTCAGATATATACCGAATACCAAAGTTAGCTGAATAATACAGTGCTTTATAAACAAAACGTAATATATTAACAACCAATGATCAGACATAAAACTTCATGCACACAAACCTGAATTACGTGTGGAATGGTGTTTGCTAATAGGTGATGGAGTCCTGGGTAGATGAGGCGAACATATATTGTGTGGAAGAAATGAATTTCTTGAAACTGTTTGAGCTCGTATTTCCTCTGTAATAGCCTGAAATAGATAGTGCATGAACTTTTGAACTAGTAGTCAAATATATCATGGAAGAACGAAATGACGATGAATACTGACAACTTTAACAGTTCCAATTATTAACTTACACAAAATACAGTAGTCGTGATAAAACTAACTTCTAGTTAATTCTCTTCAAAACTAATGGAACTAGGCATGGTATATATGTAAAGAAATCTAATCATATATCTAAACAGAAGTAGCATTAAATTTATATCCCAACATTTGAAAATCGAATTTTTAAAGCACTCGACCTACAATTCCATTTTACTAGTCTTATGAAATAAGATGTATGCTATAACTTATTGTTCCTGAAGCAAAAGATAATCTTATGAGAAATCGCCTCATTGAAAAAGCATTGTTCTGACATTTCCCATTCGATAGTTATAAAATTTATTATTATTATTACAAAACACTAGTTTAAACATTTCAACACAAAAAGGTTCACCAATACGGACTTATTCAATACGTAGAAAAATGCCAGCAAATTAGGACGTGTATAAACTAAGTAATGATATAATTTTGGGTTATCAATTTAGTGTTTAACGATTATAATTATAATTGTCGTAAACGGAAAAAACAGCACCGAATATCATAGAGAAACACATTTTTTTACCCAAAGATTTAAAAATAAACAAAAGAATCTACATTACCTTATTAATATGGCTTTCTAGTGTATTCAAACCCCATGCATAGACGAACGCTTGCTTGAATTAGAAGAAACATGAGAATCTATATTATTAACCGGGTTGACAGAATCCGATACAAATTGACTGAGTTCAGTTGGATTACTAGAAGTTTGTATGCGATCGTATTGGCCTTTAGATAGCTGAGTTTATGAACAAGCAAATTACAAAAATAAAAGGGTGAATAGTGTTTAGAAAAGTTTATATGTAAAGAATATTGACAAATTTTAACTGGAAATGAAGAGATTGAAAAAAAATTGCAAACACTCTTGCATTACCGAAAACCAAAATATTAGCGATTTAAATGACAGAAACTTGTCCCAAATAAAGTCGTCATCTACTGGTTATTCATCCTTTGATCACTGAGTTGCTGATTAAGTAATCAATCAATCCCTCGCTAAGTCGTTTTGTTACCCTATATTATAACTTATTTTCTTCCCAAACTTGACTAATTTCGCTAAAATGTACCAAGAGTGTAAAACGTTCGTTTGCGTCATTTTAAGTAAAAAAATATCATAGAAAAGAATTAGGTACATTATACGTCAATGATATAAGTAGGATTTATTTAAACGAACAATTCGGTTTTTATATAAAAACGGTAAATACTTAATTTACTTAGATGATTGTACTAGCATTAGTTGGAATATAGGGGCGATACACAGTTCTAAACTTCTGAGAAAACGCTGATCTGTAATAGAGCTATACGACACGAATTACACCGAAACGAGTCACTTGGAATGAAAAAGTAGCACAATTTAAGCACATTTTTATTCTCAATTGTGTTTAATTCATATAGACACGTATAAAACTCAAATTCTTATTTCAATGAGAACAGAGTTTGTTAACCTGTAGTAAGCCCATTCAACTTTTGTATTATTTGTCTGCTCACTGTAATTTAGACACTTAATGCACTATGTAAAATCATGTGTGAGTCTGATTGAGCGCGTGTCTGCATATCAATCTTTATCCATTTTCATTTTAGGTATCATTGCCAAGGTTTGTCTTAATAATTAATAATCTCTGTCTTACCTTAAACCGTGAGATTACTCTATACCTTTCTCCATACGAATTAATTCTTTCTCCCTGTATCATATCTTTATATACAATCCTTTTGTATATATTACAGTCATTAAAGGAGATAATTCTATGAATTTGGTGTTCATCTTGTTATGCTAATGAGGTGTGACAACTTGGACGAATGCATATATGCGCCTGGTCCCACGTTGTAGCTGAGTGATTGAATAACCTTTCTCGCATGTAACTTAGCGTGGACACATATGATACCTATGATCTCGAAACTTTCGGAAGTTATATTACTATTAAAGCTTATAACTATTGCATTGTCTATTCAAATTAGATTAATTTAGCAACGTTATAAATACTACTAATTCATAAATCACAAAAAGTACCAGCAATTTACAAGGAAAAACCACTGTGAATATTCTGATATTCAATGAATAAAGAGATAGCATCAAAGCGAAAAGAATCTTACTTACTATACATCTTGATGGAGTTCCTCTTGGTAATTCACTTTTTATGTATGAACCAAATGTATGATTACCGGCACCCTCAGATGAATGTGGACGTGGTAGACACATACCCATATATTCCGACTGCTGATCACTAAAATTCAGATTTGGAATGTTGATATTAGTAACAGACACATTGCTAGCACTTGGAAGGTGGAGAGAACTACTTTCCTCCTTTGGCTGCCGTAACTGTTGTATAACACCATAAAACTGAGAAGATTCGTTACCCGTTAGAGTCCGTATAGGATCAGATCGATCACGAGAAGTATACGACCCAAGTTCTTCTAGATATAATTTATTAGCGTTTGCAATAAATGATGCCACCTGATCTGAATTTATGGACATGTTAGGATCATTTTCTGGTTTGAAAGATATAGAATTAAGACTATTATCTAGCTGGCGAGTAAATGTAGATGTCGATTGGTGATTGGTATCATTTCTAGAAACTGGAACTCCCAAAAGTGGATTAGGTTGACATGGAGGAGTAGAATGGTTGGCAGGTGGCAATAAACTATCAGCCTAAAAAGAAAAATTGATACAAAACTAGACATATTTTTGAGATTTTATGCAAATTCAAAGAAATGTCTATCGAATAACTAGAAAATATTGCTATGAAACCATACATTTTGGGATAGCTATAAACAAAAAGTACATCTTACTTTAACAGGACTTGGAGACAGAGGTGAGTATACACAGCGGTCTGGACCACTAAAATTGTTTTCTGACACAGATGAACTACGACCATCAAACTGAATAACCGATGACGACGCAGCAGCTGCTGCAGCGGCAGCTTTGGCATGTATTGCCAACCTAATAGCATGTTCAGCGAGGATATCACTCCCCAAGCATTTTTCTATTTAAAACAAGGGAAAAATAAAATCCAGTAAAATTTGTCATAAAAATAATATAAAGTTAGTTGGTAGTTTGTAATGAGACCGTACACAAAGTGAAAGTTTATACTGAAACTCTTACAATACGGAAAATGAAATTTCATCCCCCTTTTAACAAGATCATGACTACTTTGAAATTGGAAATGTCTTAGAACAGTATTCGAGTAACTTGAGTGAGCAACAACTGGACCAGCCACCTTTTTATGCTTCTGTCAAATGAACTGCTCCAGTAGAGCATAATGCATTGCTAGAGATTTTAGGAATTCACATATCTGTGTTGCGAATACCTTCCGAATTTACTAAGCGAAGGCGTAGTTAGAACTGTCAACAGTTGTATATAACTCCAGTTAGTGCGAAAGGGTTATATAGAAAGCATGAATCCATTGTTTGTAGTCATCTGTCACATAATCAATCAGCATCAATATCACTTAACTATTACTTTAATCCATATCATCATTCCATACATTCCGTAATCTATTAAACATTTGATTTTACTTTGTTACTTCACTCACCTTATGCTATTTGTATTTATCTTGATTATCAAATTTCAGACTTGTAACTGACGTATAAACTTACACAAAATAACATTGTATACTATAAGTTACAACATTAGGGATTTTATTTCATTTTAACCCTGAATACATACTCTGTAATTCCTGAAAGATGTATTTGCATTAAACTTGGTCATTCCCTTGAAACATTAATTAGATTTATAATTGTAGAATCTAATGAGAATTTATTGAATAGAATATTTTTCATTTAGTTCAAAAAACTTGGTTTCTAATATAAGGGGAAAAAATACTTACCAGAAACACTTGATGATGTTCGAAAATCTGATACTGGGTGACAATCAAAATTCCCATAAGCTGTAGAAATATGACTAACACAGACAGGTAAGGTAGATGGATCAATAGATCTAGAAACTTGATAGGATCCAGCGTAATCAGCTGCATGAAAGAAATATGACAAAAATATGATAAGTGAACTAAAATTTTGACAAAAAAACACAGCAAAGAGTCTTCAATCAAAAAGGATTTTAAAATATAAATGAAAACAACCAAAGGTTTCTTGTATTCACCAGCTTTTTTGTCTTATCTTTATAAGGATTACAGAATACTTATTGAAACTTTATACGAACTAAACTATTTCCAAATTGAAGGACTATGCTAATATTTTCCTAGAATTCTCTTTATAAAAATCCAAAAAAATCCTTCTCTTATATTTCTTTGATGATTGATAATTTATCGAGACTTTTAAAATTTTAGACCTAGTGTGTTGGGTGCTATTGAAGTCAACAGATATAAATAGTATGTATCATCAACCGAAAGGGAAATGTGTGGTGGCAGAGGTTTAAGAAGATCGAAGAAGAGAGAATGAGAACGAAGAATGATTGGTGTAGAATCAAAAGAAAAATGAGCTCTGAGACGATTGACTGACATTTGCAGAAGGAACACCGAAGTTTGAGACAACTGATTGACATTTTACAAATGAAGTATTTAAAAGACTAATATCTGAATGAAGAATATTCTTTCCGATAAATTTTCTTCAGGTTCTACAATTATATATCCAAATTAGTAAACTGAAAAATTGCCAGTTTTGAGGCACACCTCCCAGTGTGGCTAAGCAAAGGTCTGATGAAGAAAGTGAACAGTTCGATATTGGCCCATCTAGTGCAAACTGGTCATAATGTCAGTATAAACCAATCCTTTTCAGTTATTTATCGGGTCAGAGAATCTTTGGCAAAGCTTATCAGACTTGATGTCCTTCAGTAGCTGTAGCGATCCGGATGAAAAAACAGGAGGTATGTGTACAAAAGAAATATCTTCAATCGCTCCCCTCCGTTGTACAACCGCAACGCCAATCAATTAATAGTAATCTTAGCCATTGAATGACTAATTTGACTATTATACGTATGACCTTTTGTAGTCAAATGTAATTGTCTGTTATATTTATGCACAAATCTTTGTATTATTATTAGTAGTACTATTGGTGAAACATCATTATTAATCTCGCCAATACATGATTAATACACATCACATTCATCCCACCTTACCAAAAAATTTTCTACATAATATATTCTTCCACTAAACATTTGATCGAATTGTAATTTTACTATTATTTCTCTAACCCTATCTGACCCATATTTATTCTGATCATGGATCTTAAATTTTCACTTAACGCATAAGCTGGTTCAAGTTAACATTGTATATGAGTCTTTTCAACATTAACAATTTTATTGTATTCTGTTTGACAATCCTAAATTCACATGCTTTAAACGATGCATTTTCCCTTGACCTGGCCATTTTTCGGATTATTAATTTGGATATATAATCATAGAACCTGAACAGAACTTATCGAAAAGAATATTCTTCGTTCGATTATTAGTTTTTTTAAAAATATGATGGGAATCTTTAAACGATTAAAATGAAGTATTCAGTCTATGGTTGTTAGATTTTGTAGTCAAATACATTCTATTGTCCCCACTTGTGTTCTCATCCACTACCCAGTATTAAATAAATACTTTCTACTTTTCGGTCAGTGTTTGGATGAAAAACGGGAAGTTGGACCTAAGCAACTAATATAGCGTTAGAAATTTAATTTGGACCTTATAAGTCACTGATCCGAACCTAAGTTTGTCTATCTTAATTCAAGTCAGCAAGTCATTTGCAACGTAGAATCTAACATATCCACAACAGTTCAAGCTGCAATAACACATCAACACGGCGAGATAAAATTACCAAGACAACATTTAATGTAGTAGGATCATCAACAGTATCAGCAGCAATTGAAAATATAAATATAGACGATACAACTCAGGAAAGAATGAGTTCATGAAAATAAAAGAGCACAGGACAACTTTGAAACTCGAGATTTAAGAAATGACAAAAAGTGCACCTGCACCATTGCAGTCGATTTTGAGACACATCACCCAGTCATTCATTACGATAAACACCCGGACCCCAAATTGGTCGTCTGAACCTACCACAACGGTTCAGCACAGCAGTCAGTGACCTAATGAATTCGTACCAACATTTGGCTTGACCACCCCTAATGTCTATCAAAAAATTTATATACCAGTTACCGATGTACGTGGTAGATAGTAGTTAGCTATATATGTACTGATTCGGTTTGGGCACCCGGGCAGTATCACAGCCCTCACACATGTCGAATGAGATTTGTGTGGCGCATATGTATTTGGTGCTTCCTTGTACTAATATCTATGCGTTAAAATAAATAAATAGCTATATGTAACAAATGTCAGTGAAGACTTACTAACCTATAAACCGATCGCCATTTTCATCTAATACTTTGAATCTAACCTCTGCATCGTTCAAATACACCAAACAATGTACCGAAGGGATTCACAAACGAATAACAGAAACCCATGGATATCCTCTGAGGAAATGTCTATCAGTCATAAATTAAAACAAGTTGAACGTCTGGGTAGTATACTCATCCTGTATGTGAATTTCACTTATGCCATATGTAACATAAGTTCGCACAAGCCAAACAACTTATTCTAAATACGTACTGAAGTTTAGGTAGTTGCAAAATATTAAGCTAGTGTTACAGCTATGAATGTGTTCTCAAACTTTGGCAAAATTTGAAAACACCAACGGTTTTTTCCAGAAATTTTTCATTGGATTTTATTATTTTTGAATGATCATTGTTCATATTCAAAGCAAATAAACTGACATACTTGTAGAAAAAAACTGCCCCGATATATAATGATATGGGTTTACTCGGATTACATTAATGAACACGTTCATTTACATTTTAATTAGCACCAGTATTACCATAAATTGAGTTGTGTTGTTCATGAAAATCACTGTAGCAATAGCAGTTTATAAAGTAGAATAATACGGGACATTCATTTGTAAAATGCATTACATTTAATGAACCGCAAGCAAGTCGGTGAATTAAAATTATTTATACCATGCTAATACACTTTTCATTGAATTTCAACGATGATTGCTGTCGAAGACAGGAGTTATATAAAGAAACTACAATGTTCGAGCAAAGAAAACCTACCTATAAAGAAGTAAGATCTTCACAAATGAAAACTTTTAAATGAAAAGTTCAAAATATAGATAAGAAACATCACCGGAAGCACTTATTCAATTATCTACGTTAGTAATGACACGGAACAATAATCCTACTTGTCTTTTGTCCTTCGATTATGTGCATTGTGTTGATTAGGTCAAGAAAAAACTGTTTGTTTTTTCGATACCCACATATTCTCAAAGTAAACAAACAATAAACTACTCCGATATACATCATGCATCACAGCTTACATAAAAACATAAGTTTAATCGAAGATCATATAGACCTGATTAAATATTTTTAAAAAACATTACCTTGTCGTGAATTTGAGTGATTCCCACCCCAATTAGATGAATCGGCACGATCGAGTTGTTGCGCAGTTAAAAAATCTCCGATAAGAATTGCTTTACTAGAAGCAGATGGATCCATGAGACGACTATCAGAATATTGATGAGAAAGACTTAAAGAACCACATGATGGGACAAATGAAGACATCCATTTTTTTGCTGCATCCACGCTAGCAAAATCAGACAGTTCTGATTTTGAATGTAGGTTACTTGATAAGGAAGCAGTAGATACAGATGACTTATTAACATCCAGTTTATGACTTCCGGAAGAATCAACCGTGGACGAAACAGACATTACTAATGGATCAGTATTCTGAAAACATTTTAAATTATTCTGACGTTAAATTCAATTCGTGAATTAGCGAAAAATTCAGTAAAATATGTGAAATACATTAACGGTTAGGAAATTCATCGGTTTTCGTAATAGTAATGCGGGAAAGCATAACGTAATAGCAATCTAGGAAATAACTTGAAGTTATCTAATGATTGTCATTTAATATTTTACTGAAATTTATCTTTTTTTGATATTTTTTTCTTACAAAGAAAAATTGTTTTAAAAATAATGACTAAGTTTGATAAGGAAATGAATTAGCAGTTATTTGAATACCAAACAAAACAGTGAGTTACTGATTACAATACAATATAAACGTACATAAGTGAAATACTAATTAGATAACTTCCACAGGTCAAACATAAATTACAATCAAACTATTTAATGGTTATATGAAAAATGTAGTAACAACCATACCACTCACCATTCCACAAACGCTAGCGCTAACAGCTGCAAATCGTGCAGCAGCTGCGTAAATCTCAGCTGCCGTTGTCGATGGAAAAACAATAGATGTATCTGAATTATCCGTAACCATATGACTAGAGACTAGACAACTTGGGATCACAGTTGTAATTGAAGTTGAAGGGTTCTTATTATGCTTAGAGTTTGTAATTACACTTGCCATATTAGTTGAAGTAGATTGAGAGGAACTAGGACCTGTAAATTATGGACATCATTTATCAATACAAAAATGTTTATTATCTAAAATAATAACTAAGTTTGGATAATTTTATGCAATGTCAACACCAACAAGAAATCAAACAAAAACTAAACTTATAAGAAGTCCATAGAGTTACCTTTAATAAATACAATTTAGCAAACAAGTACATATTTATAAAATCAGTTTTAAGTCGTATTTTTTATAAGAACTAATGATACTACTCAGTAACTTCAACAGAATCTGGAATTGCTACCTAATGATTGGTACTCGAGTGTTTTAAGCGTAAGGTGTTTGCTGATGAGCAGGTACATCTATGGAGAACTTAAATGTGCGAAGTTAACAGCACTTTTTGACATAATAATTATATCAGATCATTTAATTCACAAAGCAAAACGTCGTGTTATTGCTAGAACTATGAGGTTTACTTATAATTTCTTTATATCTGGAAAATCAATAATAAAACACAGAAATATATGAAACCGAGTCAATTTGATAAAACCACTTGATAAGTTACACAGTAAAAATATGTAGAATGAGTTAATAATAGCGACACTAGTGAATCAAAGAAATCCTAACCTTAGAACAACCTATTAAATGTACAGTATTAGCAATTTATTTTTGAAAATGAGTGGTTTTATTACTAAAAATGTTAAGCGATAAAACTTGGCAGAAATCTAGTGAAATCAAAATGGAGTGATGGAGATGCTAGATAAGTGACTTGAAATAATAAACAACATTTTCAGTGGAAAATATGCGAACGTACACCAATCTAATAAGCAACCCTGATATTAACAACATATTTAATGCCATGATATTATCTGTTAAAAATATAACAAAATGTTTATGTGTTTATCTGTACCTTTTACAAGTTATTAATTTATACTTATAATCTAATTTTATCGTCGAAGATAAAGTACTCGAATAAAATCCACTTTAATCAAATTTTCGTTTAAAAAAGAATAGAGCATGAATTACGCAACCGGACAGAAAATAGAAAAATGAAAGTCCATAAATAAAAATATCTCACCTATCGAGGAGATACGGGAAGACAAAGTTTCAGTTGTGTTTACTTGATTATCACATGATGAAGGCTGAGGTAATACAAAATAATACAATACAATCATAATAAAGAAATTAAAATAACACTTATATAACAAAAGTTTCAGCTTTTAGAAAACATACCGGTAGGATATCTCTCAGCTTGTCAGTTAACGGTAATAACTAATTCAAAGTTAAATGAGTTTCCATAAATAACGTAATTTAATAAAACAAATGTGTCATTCTAAAAAGTATTTCGAATCTAAAATACTAGTCGTCCGTAAGAAGAACGCCTGATTCATAACTGAGTATCATCCCGCACAATGAGATGAAAATGCTTAATAGTGCTCAATAAGATTTTAAAGTTAAATAAACATATACATGTCTGAATAGAACCATTGGGTTTCTAAGAAACTAACATAATCTGCACAACTTCTGTGGCACAGTATCTATTAATATTTCTAGTCAATAAGTCATATACAATGTATAACAATACTTATGTACGACAGCCCAGACTGATACATCATATTAGCACAACCACATAACACAAAAAAGACGTTTCTCAGAATAGTAAACATTGTAATAGTATAGGGACTTTTGGATTCAATTTTTAAGGGAAAACGAGTGAATGCATTTGCGCATACGCAAGAGATTCTGAGCTGCATCCAGTGATTACGATGGTCACGTGGACCCCGAACAGAAAATCTGCACTTAAACGCATGGCTCAGTTCAATAGTCAGTCAGTCAGCTAAAACGTAGGGCCAGGCACATATATGAATCGATCCAAGTTGCCATACAGCATTAGCACAACAAGATGAACACCGGACTCATAGGAGTGGTTAGGTCAAAGGTGGTGATATATAGGAGAAAGACTGCATATAAGGATACAGTACAGGAAGAAAGAATTAGTTCGTAGAAAGAAAAATATGAAATAATTATAATTACTTCAATGGTAGTAAGAAAAGATATCCTATTAATATATGATACAGGGAGAAAGAATTAGTTCGTATAGAGAAAGGTATAAATTAAGTTTAATCTAACGGTTTAAGGGAGGACAAAGAGTCTATAAACCTACACCATTGTGATCGATTCTGAACCATGTCACCTAGAGTCTCCAACCATTGGTTACGATAGTCACGCGGACCCCAACCAAGTAGTCTGCATCTACCAACATGGCTCAGACTAGAAGTTAGTATCTTCAAGCACTGATGTCAATCCCTTGATGAACTGATCATATGTTTTGATTTGGTCAACCCTAGCTTTCTACCAACCTCATGATGGTTGAGGATAAGTCACATGTTCCAAAAACCTCAGTTGGTGGAGATTCACCACTTCGTCAGTTGATTTGTTATTTTTACCTAGCACCTTATGCTTGATATGAGCATTGCTCATTTGGTGGCTCCAAAACGAATGGTTCGGAGACAGGTATGGTCGAATAATATAACTTACGAGTGATTTTGTTTCTTAATGATCATACCTCATAACCAAACAGTACAACAGAGTGATTTCCTGTGCAGTAAACTAGTCCTTTGGTTGACAGAAAGATATCTCAAATACACCACCAGTGACGAAAGTTGACAAAAGCCAATCGAGATTTCTGAATCCGTGTCGAGACTTTGTCAGACATCGACGTGATTAATAGGAGATTATGTTGGTATATTAACATAAACACACCCTTATTTCTAAAGTGGGAAGTAAGATAGATTCGTTTTTACATTTCGTAGTTAAAAAGTCGAGTTGACTAAGATATTTAAGCTTACTTTTAACATATTTGATTATAGGTCGATTGAGAAGTATCGTATAATGTCTAAGTATCCAGTTCTGCGATGAAATTTTTCCGTTAGATAGGTCATTATTAATCTCCCGACCGTTGTTACTACCTTGACGTGGTGGTCGGGCTTGCCTATCGTGATGAAGCAACCGAGCTACACTGACTGGAACAACTGTTCCTCAAGGTCCTACCACTTCAGAAAGGTCGGTTGAAGAGCGGTAAGACTAAAAGCAACAAACCCAAGGTCCGAAGGCGAAGTCGTACTGCTGACTGTAAAGAGATGTGACAGCAGTAAGGTGTTTCCTTCAGACAACCAGCATGACAGCGATGCTGCCTTCCCACAAGGAGAGGTGGGTTAGAAAATGTTGACCCTAAAAATGCACACCTCGCCTTATCCCACGGATATCCGTCTCCGGCGGTAAGGTCTCAACAAGTACGGAGCTAACAAAAAAATTGCCCATAAAAAGGTCGTGTGTGACCGACCTCAAGCAGTTGTCCATTGGGCACTGCGGTCACGCTCTCAGGTCACTAAGACCACCTCTAGTCCAATTTCCTTTTCAGGTACCTCCAGTAGTACCCTTCTACGGTGTGGACAACCGGGAAGTGATAACCACCCTCATACCTGTAACAGCGCTCAAGACCACTGTATTCATAATCAACCTCCCTCTTCCATTCCTATTATTCCTCCTACATCGACTTCAAACTCTAAACTTCTTTTTTCGGCTTCCCCCTCAAGTGTCACCATAGCCAACGATTCTAGTGCTCAAAACACTGTCCCAGGTCTACTGAAACCTCGCTCCACACTACACATTGGAGCCTTCAATGTACGCACCCTATGTCAAATCGGTCAGCAGGCTTCGCTGGAGAGGGTCGGTAGAAGATTGTCGCTCATTCTGGAGTACCTGCTTGGACTCCGACCACGCCCTAATACGGGCACGCATCTGCTTGCGCCTCACTGGACGCAAAAAAGCCACATTAAAAAGACCCGTTAGAACTGAGTTGAGTAACGAGAAAACCAAAAGTAGGTTCCAGGAACAACTGAGGTCACACTTAGGTAGTTCTGAAGACGAGGCTGACCCAGATGTTGCTTGGAAAGACATACAATCAGCTGTGGAAACAGCAGTGACATCTATTAGTGACTTAAACCACAGAGTTACAAAGAACCAGTGGATTTCTTCAAGGTCTATCACACTGATGGATTCTCGCAAACTCGTCCCATCAGGTTCTGAACATGATGAAGAGCGACAACAAATCAGATCTAGGTTAAGAAAAAGTCTAAGGAACGACCGTGAGCAGTGGTGGGTAACGAAAGCAAAAGAGATGGAAAAGGCGGCGACTATAGGGAACACAAGACAGCTTTACAGACTAATAAAAGAAACTGGAATTAATAAGTCAAGTGTAAGTGAGATTATTTCGGAAAAAGACGATACTCTCATCTGCTCCCAGTCCAGACGTTTAGAACGATGGGCGGAACATTTTAGAGAACAGTTCAGCTGGCCTTCAGCTACTCTACAACTACCCTCCATTCCCAGTGTGAATGGAACATTGAAGTAGGTCCCCCAACTCTTGCTGAAGTTCAAAAGGCTATAGTTAATCTGAAACGAGGAAGGGCAGCTGGTCCAGATGGATTGGCTCCAGAGGTCTTTAAGGATGGTGGTCCAATTTTAGCGATTAGGTTGACTAATATTTTAGCTAAGATCTGGGAGTTAGACGTTATCCCATCTGACTGGTCACAATCACTTATCGTCCCAATATATAAGAAAGGGTCAAAATCATCCTGTGACAACCACAGAGGGATTAGTTTAACTAATATAGTATCTAAAATACTAGCCTCGATAATTATCGGACGCCTAACTAAGACTCGTGAACTGCAAACACGAGAGAACCAAGCTGGCTTTAGACCTGGTCGTGGCTGCATCGACCACATATTCACCATTCGTCAGGTTCTAGAACACAGGCATACTTATCGGCGTCCGACAATGGTGGTCTTTCTTGACTTAAAAGCAGCATTTGACTCTGTAGACCGCGAGATTCTGTGGCAGTGTCTGTCATTGAAAGGCGTACCTCAGAAGTACATAAACCTTGTGAAGGCTCTTTACTCGAACACTACTAGTCGAGTCAGGGCTTATGGCGAACTGTCATCTACTTTTGCAACCTCAAGTGGTGTCCGTCAAGGCTGTCCACTTTCTCCATTTTTGTTTAACTTCATCATAGACCTATTGATGGAAATAACATTCTCGTCGACTGAATTCTCGGGTATTGATCTCCTTCCAGGAGGTCCACTTATCGACTTAGAATATGCAGATGACATAGTCCTGTTTGGTGAAGACGCTGACAAAATGCAGAGTCTTCTGGTAGCACTAAGCAACAATGCCAGAATGTTTGGAATGCGCTTCTCTCCCTCTAAATGCAAGTTGTTGCTTCAGGACTGGTCTGCGTCAACACCTGAACTAAGGATAGGGAGTGAAGTAGTCGAACGCGTTGACAACTTCACTTATCTTGGAAGTCTGATCAGCCCTAATGGGTTGGTGTCTGACGAAATCTCAGCACGGATTCGAAAAGCTCGTTTGGCTTTTGCCAACTTACGTCACCTTTGGCGAAGGCGAGATATCCGTCTATCAATAAAAGGACGAGTATACTGCGCGGCAGTCCGTTCTGTTTTACTTTACGGCAGCGAAACATGGCCTTAAGAGTAGAAGACACCTGTAAGCTACTAGTATTTGACCACAGATGCCTTAGAAATATTGCTGGCGTCTGCTGGGATCACCGGGTAAGTAATAGTGAGGTTAGACGCAGGGTATTAGGGAATGATGGTAAATCAGTTGATGAGGTTGTTAATCTTCATCGACTGAGATGGTTGGGCCACGTGTTACGTATGCCTGAACACCGATTACCACGACGTGCAATGCTATCCGGTGTTAGAGATGGTTGGAAGAGAATTAGGGGCGGCCAAACCAAAACGTGGCATCAGTGCTTGAAGACACTAACTTCTAGTCTGAGCCATGTTGGTAGATGCAGACTACTTGGTTGGGGTCCGCGTGACTTTCGTAACCAATGGTTGGAGACTCTTGGTGACATGGCTCAGAATCGATCACAATGGCGTCGGTGTATACACTCCCTGTCTTCCCTTAAACAAAGAGATTAAAATTGCTACATATCTTTCTTTCTACCGACTAATTCTTTCTTCCTGTACAATATCCTTATTGCAATCTTTCTCTTATATATTTCCATCTCTGAATTAACTATTATGAATCCGGTGTCCATCTTGTTGTATTAATGAGGTGTAGCAACTTGGACCGATGCATACATGTGCCTGGTCCTACGTTGTAGCTGACTGACTGACTCTAAAATCACGTGCATCATTCAAACTGGCTGCCTCCAAATTCCGCACACTCATGCAGGTCGGACAACAGATTGGGCTGGCTATGTCTTTGTAAAGTCAAGGGATTGACATCAGTGCTTGAAGATACTAACTTCTAGTCTGAGCCATGTTGGTAGATGCAGACTACATGGTTGGGGTCCGCGTGACTATCGTAACCAATGGTTGGAGACTCTAGGTGACATGGTTCAGAATCGATCACAATGGTGTAGGTTTATAGACTCTTTGTCCTCCCTTAAACCGTTAGATTAAACTTAATTTATACCTTTCTCTATACGAACTAATTCTTTCTCCCTGTATCATATATTAATAGGATATCTTTTCTTACTACCATTGAAGTAATCATAATTATTTCATATTTTTCTTTCTACGAACTAATTCTTTCTTCCTGTACTGTATCCTTATATGCAGTCTTCCTCCTATATATCACCACCTTTGACCTAACCACTCCTATGAGTCCGGTGTTCATCTTGTTGTGCTAATGCTGTATGGCAACTTGGACCGATACACATATGTGCTTGGTCCTATGTTGTAGCTGACTGACTGACTCATTATTAATCTGCTGTAAATCAAAACGATTAGTCTACAAATGTCTGTGTTCTTACATTTAAGCCATTTACCAACGGCTTGTTTGAAAATAAGTAGTCTACATAAACGTTTTCAGATAATGTTTATTTCGATTAGGGATTGATATGTATTCAAAAATTATAAATGTACTAGACCCAATGTGAAACAGTGGTTTAGTGAATATAACACTCAGCTTATAATTGTTAAGCCTCATATTCGACCTCAGACCACCTACAACGGTTTGAGCAGCTGGGGGGATGAGCGTGGCGTGTACTACCTATATCGACATGAGTAATATATAACGATAGTCAGGATTAGAATGTCTGGCAGAAGGAAAAAAGGGAAAAGAAAGCAACTGGTATGAAAATGCAGGAAAATGAAGTCTGAAACGACTGATTGACTTTTTGCAGAAGGAACAGTCAAAACTAAGACAATTGATTAGTATTTTGCAAATCAATTATTAACTGTATGGTTCTCAGATTTTAGTAAGATGTTCTGTAACTTCTGTAATTTCGATTGTTCCCACGTATGTTCTCGTTAACTACAGTATCACTAACCAAAATTAATTAAGCCGAGTTAACAAATATTTATTTAGTAAACGAATTACATTTCATTTTCAATTACATCAGCGGAACTATTTTTTTCGAACCCCATTTTTCAGGAAAATAAGTGTGCATGAAGACCTTCAATGGGTATATGAATTAAATAAGCGTTAGTTATTGTGAAATGAGATTTGAAGTCGCTGGATCAGATGAAGTGAAATGTCTTTTACTGACTTTAGACAGCTGGTGATATTTAGAGCTCAAATTAGAACTTTGATAATGCACTTAGGAAAACTTAATAGAAATATCTACATCATAATAAAGGCTTGTCTATCAAACGAAATACGACCAGTAAATACAATTGTGAAGATAAGTATTTTGTTTAGAAATCGCTAATTGTAACAATAGTTTCATGCACCACTATTTAATATACTCAAAATAATACCTTGGTAAGATTTTTTTCAATAGCAAAGTGAATCAAATCCTTGATGCGTGTTGAAGAACTGGAAACCACTGCAGGATGTGTTCGGGGTTGAGCCAGTTTATTTGAATCAGTCACAAATTCTGCACACTGAGAATTAGTATTAGAAGAAACGGTTACCTGTTTAAAAGAATGAAAAGTCCATAAGATTTGGAACAACATTTCTTAATGATAGTTTGTTCATCGCCGGGTAGAAATTTGGGCAGTAACATATTTTCCAACAGCATGGCAATACGTAAACACTGAACATCAGAAATTATTAATTACTAAGTTCACGTTACTGTCCTGTCCTACAGAACATAAAGAAATGTGTTAAAGCATAACATGTCCACCTACAGATGAAAACTCTACTGATTCAGTTATATGAACTTATTGGGAAGCTTTCCCCTGGAAAAGGTAAGAAAACTATTCAAATATCACTTACATGTACTCCAGGATCACTTCTTACGTTATCTCCAGACCGTGATTCTTTGTCGATCGTAGGAACTAGAGTATCATGTTCAGGTACCTTGACATCTACATTCAGGGGGAGAAAAAATTTCGATGTAGTCTGCACTTACGAACAAACCGATGACAGTAACAAACACTGAAATAAATCTGTTAGCCTGTTAGAATTACACTACTGATAAGTAACCTAAGCAATATGTAATAAAACAGATTTCCAATAATATCAAAATAGATTATAAAAATGTGTTTCATTAAATTAACACAGCTCATGATAAAACAGTCCGTCAGTCATAATCACCGTCGAACCTGACACACTTGTGTGTAGGCCCAAGTTGTCACACCATATTAGCAAAGAATGAACAAAGAAGTAGATGGAACGACAGTAGTGTTAGTGAAGGTGAGAAAGTCTAAACAAAGAGGATCTATTCCAAAAAATGAAATGGAATAACGGAGTAGAAGGTATGAAATGAAACTGAAACCCTAAAGTACTGTGATCGATTTTGAGCCATGTCAGATATATGTTTAATTGTACACAGAAATTGGTTTTGTTACCCATTATTAAGGAAAACATACAACTCCAAACCAAATACATAACAGGCGATACTAGATTAACCACATAAACAAGGCTAACATCCACTATGTTACCTATTTTTTTATCAAGCCTAGCATATATACTCTTGCAAATACACAAGAACAGAGACCACTTATTACAACTTACAAAAAACAACATCAATTAAACATACAAGAACGAACATCTTGTTTTCACTGATGGTCTTGCATTTATCTGTTCAAACTAAAGTGTAATTTATCTGTGTTAGAAGACTTTAATTGATCACACATATATACTTCTATGTAAAATTTAAACGTTAATAAGGTAGTTTATGTTCAGACCCATTGAGGGGTAAACGCAATCATAAGTTTATCTTATATATGAGGATAAATTTCAAAAGCAACATCGTTAGCAATATTTTCGCATGTTTATAGTGTGAATCCATTGGAAAGATGTTTAATACCATTAGATAATAACCAGATTTATTCATGCATTCTCATATGGCGAGTAACAAATACTACCATATGAAAGACAAACCACTCTTGATTACAATGAATCTCATCCAAAAGTAATGTGAAAGTAGAGAAAATCAATCTAACTAACTACTTACATATCCAAAACAAGTATGAATATTTTTAAAAAAACGGTACAGATGAATCTTCGACTTGTACTTACCCGAAGGAACGTGAACATTATGAGGTTCAACGTTATTTCGAGTACTGTTATTACCGCCACGATTTCGCCCATGAGATCCAACATTGTGGTTATCGATATTAGAATGATTTGTATGTTGTGGTGGACGACCCCGTCCAGCTCTATTTCTTGCACCAGTACTCCCACCGCTACCACCATGATGCGTCTCTTTTTTATTATTTCTGTATCCATCAGCATCCTGAAAATAAATAGGGAAAATGCATCAGTATATTTTCAGTGATCTTCAGAATATGAAGAGTAAAGAAAATATGTTTGATTGTACTACACTACCTATTGAAATTTGATCCTCAGATGGTATATATATATATCATTGTTAATATGGTTAGAAAAGATATCTAAGATGGCATTAAGATGATAAATGAGAGGAAGTATCTAAGCTGCATGTAAAACAATACTGAGAAGAAAATATTGTGATAAAAAATTACAAAGCCTAATGAATAAAGTCACGTGAACAAGAGAAGTTCGTGTATCTGGGTAGCTGCGTAAGTGCTGGTGTTGGCGTGAGTAATGAGATGAATTCGTGTACAGTGAAAGTCAGAGCGTTTTATGCAAACCTGGGCCATCTTTGGCGCCTTCGTAATGTTAGTCTGGCTGCAGAGGATCGGATCTACAACACGTTCTATGCTTGTGAAACCTGCCCTCTCCAAGTTGAGGATGTTGGACGACTCTCTGTGTTTGATCATCGTCGTCTCCAAAGGATTGCTGACATCTAGTGGCAACACCATTCAGTAATGCAAAGGTTCGGCATCGTGAAATAAGATACAGCAACGATAATTTATTTGGAGTCAATCACTACCTGCGATCAAATACTAGTAACATACGAGAATAATCTACTCTTAATGACCACGTTTCGCAGTCGTAAAGTAAAAAAGAACGAACTACTGCGAAATATACGCATCCCTTAATTGATAGACGGATATCTCGCCTAATCCATAGGTGGCGTAAGTTGGCAAAAAACAAACGAGCCTTTCGAATTTGTACAGAGATTTCGTCAGACACCAAACCATTAGTGCTGATCAGACTTCCAAGATTAGTGAAGCTGTCGATGCGTTCGACCACTTCATTTCCTAAACGTAGTTCAGGCGTTGACGCAGGCCAGTCCTGAAGCAACAATTCTCATTTAGAGAGGGAGAAACTCAATCTAAACATCCTGATATTGTTGCCTGGTGCTACCAAAAGATTCCTCATCAATCTAAGTTAGATATAAGACATTGTCCTGAAGCAAATAGTACAAGCTAAACACGGGAAATCCGATTTGGTAAACAGATCTTGATATAATTGTAACGCGAAAACTCACGAAGACAATTAGTTACAGAAACAAACGTAAGACAAATAAGTGATCAGTCCTCGAGTATTATCAAGAAAATTCTAATAAAAACAAATAATTCATTGAAAGCAAAGAAATAAATAGCATTCTTTCTTTGGGTAGTTCGAGTTCTAAATAAATCTTTGCGTTATCACCTAGTGGTTCATATCTATTTACGATATAGCTTACAGGGTAAAAAAAAATCCAAATATCCCAAATTTAGGAACCGAGACCAAAAATAGTGAGACATTTTCAGATGCTCAAAACACAACAGTAGTCTAACAAAAGTAACTATATACTGCTTATTGATACTCTGTAGTTATCTATTTTGATGTAGCCCAAGTGAAGTTTAAATTCAACATCTTAAATTCGGAAGTCCATTTTTGAAGCCAAACTGAATGTAGATATTAATAAAGTATTAACGCTCGTTTAACAGTTACTTAAAATGTAAGGCAAAGTGAAGAATATGATGTGAATAATTTTACCTTATGCTCAGCTGTTTCATTAGATTCAGGAAACCCAGAAGAATCAGTTTGTGAATTTTTTAATCCTCCTGGATCTTTTTCATCTGCTTCATTACGCTCTCCACGAGGGGAATTTATATTCGTATGCCCATTTTGGCAATTACTAGAAGATGGAGGGATCGAGTTCATATTAGTATTACTATGGCTACCGCTACTCCCGCCAGAATTTGAATTGCTAGCAGCTCCACCAGCACTACCGCCCCCTCCACGTTCAGTCTGAGCTGCTCGGCGTCGACGAGCATTATGCTTTTTCAACAGCTGTTTATAACCTTCTTTCTTTTTGGATAAATAGTAATAGTGGATACAGTCTGCAACAGATTTCCGCTCTAAGTATGAAGCTATCGAAGTAAAATTTTTAGGAGTGGCTAAATAGCGTTCTTTAAATATTTGCTTTTCTTCTTCCGACCACTTCGACAGATCTTGATTTTCTTGGAGCTGAGCACGACAATCTGTGACTAAACCTGATTCACATATGAATTGATATCGACGCTGCCAAGGTGCAAGCATAACTGGAGGATCAATCGCATATTCCTAGATACACAAAATTATTACGACATACAATTTCGAGGAAATCTTGAACGTAATGATTATTGTAGGAATGTGTAAAAAATAATATAACACATTAATCTAGCTATGAAAATACATATCCTATAAAGAAAAACATGGAAAAGACTATATAGTTAAGTTATCCTGTGTGATTTTACCAGCAATCGTTATTTTGATCATAAAAGCCAGATTGGAGTGTTTGCTCAACTGATAACTACAGTTTGATTATGATGCAACATGAAGAAATCTAAAGATGGCCACAACACGATAGGCTCAAGAGGAATGTTATCAACTTAATATACTTATGTTTTACGACTGCAGCTGAAAAAATCAGTTGGTGCTAATCCTTGACTATTCGTTATGTACAGATTTTAAAGGGATAAAACATTAGTTATTTTTTCTAAAGTGGCTCAAAATGTCTCAGTGGCGCAAACGCGTTCATTTCTTTTCTTTCCCTCTATATTTTGTGTTTCACTATTAGTTCTTACATTTTATTCGAACCATATTCACCATATATTTAGTCTATTTTAGGTCACTGTAATGATCCAGTGTGGCAATTTAAGCACATGGATATCTCTTCCAAATCATACGTTGCTAACGTTAAACTAAATAACTGAAGTCACATAAAAATATCATATGTGTAAGATATTGTTATGTTCTCTTTTATAACGACCTAGCCACTCTTATTGCTTAGTATTCTTGGACACTGTACTTTCTTGATAAGTCCCCAAATCAGAACACGGTTGAACAGGAACGTAATGATATTTCAAATAATCAAGATTGGATATAAGTAGGAATCACAATAAAAAAAACGTTAGTAAATTTATAATTTTACACAATATTCAAGAGTCTTCCTCAAGTATCCACTAGGGAGGGGTTAGCTAAATGACCAATCAGCGTACCCCAACACCATCCTGCACAGAAAATGCTTTAACTCAATCTATTTCCCGCTAACAGATATACTTGACTATTTTAGAGTAAATATAAGTGGTTTATCGGGTGTTGAACAAATAACTAGCGACTGCACTTCAAATTATAAACAGATAAGGTAACCAGTTATCAAATGTTTTTAGCCACATTCACTTTAGGACAAACTGTTTATTATGGACCAAGAAATGTCAGTTTATTTTGCCATATCAGACGATGACGTAACTTGTATTACCAGAATCAAAGGGAAATTGTAAATAATTATCTAATCAAATACCTTAAATTCACCTATTTGGACATATGCATCGTGCTAAGACAAAAGTATCATCAGCATTACAGTCTATGTACAAAATGACCAGTGGAGTGGAAATTTCACACTTAGTAGTTTTGTCAGATTTACATAGAAAATAGTTAAGGAATGAGATTCTGCCTATGAAATAAACTATAGTATTAACTTCTGAATATCCTTAACGACGTAATCTCAGTGACCTTAACAAATAAAAATAAATTACTCTAAAGACTATAGTTTGAAGATTATTTATAGGGAAAAAGAGAAACCGTTTACTGAGAAATCACCTTTAATTTATTCATCTCTTCTATAGCATCGTAGGGAGTAGTCTGAGAACCATCAGTTAGGTTAGAAACCCCGCCAGAATCTTTTTGGCAAACAAAGCAAATAGAAAGACACAGAAAAGTTTATTTAGTGAATGAATACAGAACCCGTTTGAAGGAAGAATTATTCAGAAAGGAATCATTACAAAGGTCGAACTTCATAATTTCAAATAAATTGAGCGTTCGGTAGAGTCTTAGTAATAAAATATTTTTTGAGAGAAACTAGAATTTCTGACGTTTCGTGTGAGACACTTCTACATAATAAATAACCAAACGAACACAAGTTTGAACAGTATGGTGGAACAGGCAAAATATTTAGTTAACTCAAAATCTTAATAGGTTTGATTACGTCAATGTCATATATTTCTTGGTCTAGGTGATTTTGTGTGAGATCACGGTGTATACTTGTGAGATGAGAAGTAGAGTTGAAATTTGTATGCATTTATGTGCATTAATGGTCTGAAAAATGAATAGAACTAAATGTTTGAAAACATGGACCAAGTTGAATGGATAACCAGACCATTCCTCTAATTGAGGACAGAGGAATTAAAAGTTATACGAAACGCCTACTAATCGGAAAAACTATTCTGAATTATCTTGATATTTTTAATACCGATTTGGTGGTTATTGAAAAAAGCACGTACTGGTATTGCCGATTTGACCCTAAATGTAAGCGCACTAACAGTTCCTCAAAAACCAGGAGCACAATCAGAATTAACTTCCCGTATTAAACAGGTCTTCATCCTAACTATTGGTATTACTAAGATGAAAAAGTGGCGCTAAGCAGTTGGATACTTGAATTTTCGTCACGATCTGACCTTTTGTTTGTTTATTTATACCTCATTTTGAAAATGAGTAAACCTATATTTCAGCAAGGGTAGATTTGTACTCACGACTTCAAACCACGCCATAAGAGAAGTAGTGACTTAGTGGTTAAGGAGCCCAAATTTCAGCTACTAAGTCGTAGGTTTAAATTCCACTTTAACTAATTCAGTTTGGGCAATCGAGTACTATCACTAGTTCTCACAACTGAAGAGTGAACCGAAGCCAAGTACAACAATAGATACCTGATAATGGGTTAATAATAAGAGCGATCATAATAATGTTCACCTAACAAGGTCAAAAATACATAAGTCCAAGTCAATAATAAAAAACCTTATCATAAGATTTTGTGTGATATGATATAAAACAAGCACAAACTAATTTAACAAAAATAAACATACCATCCTCGATTCCTGGTTTAGTGTATTCCGTGTTTCCCATCTCCCTGTCTTCGCGATTTTTTTTAACTTCCGGCATCGCTTTCTCAAAAATATCTCGATGACGAAGATCACGTTGACGACGTTTGGTCGTACTGAGTAATTTGTCCATCTTTTTGGTAAATATCTGTAAATAAATAAGCACATTATATGAATAATTAAAACACAAGGTTAAGTACTGCGCATCGTTAATTCTACATATATCTTAAGAATCATATTTACCAGGTACGAACAGGAATGATCAAGACGTATACGCGGGATGTAACAATCACTTAAAATAATTTGGAAAATCCAACTGACAACATTAATTACAATCAGGTTAGAATAAAATTATTCCGTACGACACAATTTATTATGAAACAATAAGTATATGTGTCCAAACAGAAACGGTACACAGGATTCACCATGCCGACTGATCAACATACGATACAGAAATACAAAGAATTCAACTTTGTGACAAAATATAAGCATATTTAATCCACAGAGATATCTCCATTCTACTAGGGTTATGTTGATACTTAGTCGTAATATTATTTTATTAGCAACGCTATACTACTGAATACCCGCTTATAAAACCGATTATACGACGCTCATAGGATGTATGGACATACTCTAGAATTTCGTCCGTATTGTTGAGCCAAAAAACTGATGCGACTTTGTTCAGCACGGAGACGTCTTTGAAGATAAACAACAAGTTTTGGGCGGAAATGGTTGCGAAAGTTGGATTGTATAGCCCTTACACTTGATAAGTCGGATGGTTGGCGATAAAATGGCAGGGCATGTGGTCCAGGTCGAACTTTGGGACCACAAAGTCTTGTGAAAATGAGATGACGCTGACGAGTGCGTTGGCGGTTGTCAGAAATAATTGCCTGAAATTAAAAGAGCACGAAATTAAGAAATATAATTCGAAGGCAACGAAAATAGTTTGCATCTGTAAATAAAACACCAGCTAGTTTTACTGCCATATGAGACCATAAGGGTGAACAAAAACTGATCTATCCTCCAAATTAGCATGGCAACATACACGTATAATCACTTTTAAAACTGAATCTAGTGACCTCAAATTTTGTTTTAACTTCACGATAAGTAATGGAACACAAAGTTTACTTATTAATGGCTGATAATAAGTAACTTTCGTACTTCAGCTTATAGACCTTACATTTGTTTTTAGCACGAAATGCTCGGTAATACAATTTACATAAAGTTACAAAAGTATTACCTGTATTGGGTTTTCGTAATTCCGTTCGAAACCGGTTTTACAAGTGAAAGATACTTCCGGAACAGCAAGATCCCCTTTATCTGATTTACTTTCATAATCGTTACCGTTCAAATTATTGTTCGATGTATTGCGTGCAGGTGCTACCGCAAGTCGAGCTGTTAGACGAGCCTCCCGTTCACACAGATTTCTTAGATGTGATTCTTGTTTATTGATATCAGCATCTAATACTGTCAGTTGACGGTTAATTTCTTCCCTTTCACGATGAAGCTTTGCATCTTGGGCATCCACTAGACGAGACTCATCAGGAGCAGGGGATATGGCTTCAACCTAAAAAAAATATTCATAAACAGATTTGCAATATCTACAGAAAAAATGAAAACAACAACCAATTGTTTACTGATTAGTACCTATAGGCGACTTAATAAGGAGCTTGTTGGTAAAGAATGGAAACTACTACAACATCCGTGCTGAAATTCACAGATAGTTATAGGAACTGGAATTAGCTACATAAGTATGTGTTCTAATAAGCGTACAGTAAGAAAGCCATATTATGAGGTAAGAAGCTGAGATTATTCATTTACTACATTGGCATACGAAGAAAGTTAGGGGTGGTCGAACCAAAACGTGGCATCAGTCCTTGAAGTCACTTTCTTCTGACCCGAGCCATGTTGGTAGATGCAATGGTTAGAGACTCTAGGTGAAATGGTTCAGAATCGATCACAATGGTGTACGTGTATACACTATTTGTCCTCCCTTAAACCGTGAGATTAAAGTTACTTGATACCTTTCTTTATACGAACTAGTTCTTTCTCCCGGTATCATATCCTTATATGCAATCTTTCTTTACATATTACTACCATTAAAGTAACTAATTCTATGAATTTGGTGTTCATCCTGTGCTAATGAGTTGTGGCAACTTGGACCGATAAATATATGTACCTGGTCCACCGCTGTAGCTTATTGGTTGACCCATAAATATAACCTAAACTGGATATCGCTGGAAAAATTGACTGATAGTTTCATGACTGGTTACAAAATTTTATAACCTTGGAAAACGTGTTTTTAAATCAACAACGAACACTTATATTACTTGGGACTGTGGTAAACACTAATTTAATTTTCAACGTTACCCACAACTGTGATCATCAATTTAACCATAGTAAAATAATCACCTGGAAATGAGAATTAAGTGAAGCAAATTTCACTTTATATCCATAGTCAATCTGAATTGATGTATCTAGCAGTGATTTAACAAATAACACCTATTATGACACCATAAATTTTATAGAACCTCAGAGGGGTACAGGAAAAATGCAATGAAGATCCAAGAGAAAATATATGCGCATGCAGATGAATCAAAGTCTTAAGATTTCTCCACGTCATATTACTTGAATTATATCACAACTGGCGAATTTTAACTCTGCCTATAGCTCTTCTAGGGTCACTGATGGTCCAAAGCCCAGGTAAAGGAGGAGGGTTGGGTATGGGGGTCAGCAAACGCATCCTATCGAAAACAACCTTGATAAACAACGCTAACCAGAATAAACAAGTCAAACTATTTAAACTTTGTCCTCCGGTTTGAAGGATCTTTATTCAGAATAATTATGACGCCTCATGGTGAAGGCCGATATTCTTCGGAAGTCATGAGATTGATCCTCCTTCTAACATGGGGGGTGAAGAGCTGAGAAGATCGCCAACATCATCCGCAATTCATACGACGGACTTAACTGCAAAGTCGTGCATTGAGGGCAGTTTATAGATGCATTCCAAATGAGTACCAGAGTCAGACAGAAGTGCTTACTCTCGCTATTTCTCTCTTCTAATGGTTGACTGAATTACGGAATACAATGAACAGATTGGATGCAACTAGATGATTTGGACTCTGCAGATGACATAGCTCTTCTATTTCATGCACACCAAAAAACAACGGTCAAAACAACCAGTGTAGCAGAAGACGTTGCATCAGTAGGCCTCAACATACATAAGGGAAAAACCAAGATCATCAGATACGACACGGAGAACACCAACCCAACCACACTTCATGGAGAAACTCTGGAAGAGGTGGAAACTCATTGACCTTGGTAGCGGCATCTCCCATGAACAAGGAGGATCGGACGCAGACGTCAAGGTAAGGATTGGTAAATTAAGGGCACCATTCTTACAGTTGAAGAACATATGGAACAACTATCTGCAAGCCAACATCGAAGTCAGAATCCTTAACACGAACGTCAAGACAGCTCTGTTGTACATAGCCGAAACTTCGAGAACTACCACAACCATAATCAAAAACATACAAGTGTATATAAACAATTGTCTAAGCAAAATACTCAAAGTTCTTTGTTGGTCGGATACCATCAACAACAGCCTATCGTGATAGAGAACAAACTAGCTTTCAAATGAAGAGGAAATTAGGAAAAGATGTTGGAAGTGGATAGGACATACAGTGGGGAAGTCACCAAACTGCTTCATGAGGCAATCGCTAACTTGGAATCCCGAAGGAAAATGGAAAAAAGGATGGCCAAGGAACACACTTGGCCGAAAATTGGAGGCAAATATAAAAAGGATCAATAGCAACTGGAAAGGATAGAGTTGAACGGAGATTGTTGGTGGGTGGCTTATGCTCCTACATCAGGCGTAAGTTGAGAATTCCGTTTCAAACTGTAAAGCTGGTTGTCAACAGTTTGGTAAATTTCCAGTCGTTTTTATCAAGTTATAGTGTATGCGTAAGGTTAGCTACGTGTGAGGTCAAGTACCCGACCGTAGTTGCTACCTTGACGCGGTGGTCCGGATTGCCTATCGTGATGACCCAACCGAGCTATATTGGCTGGAACATATGTTCCTGTAGGTTCCACTATGCCAGGCAGGTCGACTGGAGAACGGTAAGACTAAAAGCAGCAACTTAAGGTCTGAAGGCGAAGTAGTACTGCTGACTGTAGAGGGGTGTGACAAAAATAAGGTGTTTCCCTCGGACAACCAGCAACTGCAGCGATGCTGCCTTTTCACAAGGAAGGGGTTACAAAAGGTTGACCCTAAAAATGTCACACCTCACATTACCTCACGGATTTCCGTCTCCGGCAGTAAGGTCCTTTGAAGAACGGAGCTAACACATTAAAAACCTCCCACAAGAGGACCGTGCGCGACCGGCCTCAAGCAGTTGTCCCTTGGGCCTTGCGGTCACGCTCCCAGATCGTTAAGGCCAACAGTGGTCTAGCTTCAACTGACTCATGATTTGAACCTGTGACATTTCTAAAAAACTCCCCACAAAACCCATTCTGAGAAATAAATGACAAAACTGTCTCATGGAATGCTATGGAAAAGTGTTCAACGTGTTCTTTCCGCATTAGGTCACTTTGATGTGCCAATGACTTTCGTGCAATGTTCCAGGATTATATGTCAGATATTATCTCCTCCTGGTGGCTTTACAGAGCGCAAGGACTTAGGTTTTTAATACTAACCTGAGTAGAGTTCACTGTCATCCAAACCCTGAAATGACGCTAGGATTGAGAGGTGCATCGTGCTTTCAGCCTCCAGTTTGTGGAGTAGGCATTAAATATCTTCGCCATCTCTAAGTTTGTAATATCTTCGTCGTTTGGCTTTTGTAGGATTTTCCCTTGTCATGAATCTGTTGAGATATCTGGGATCAGTTTGCATATTAGCTGCTAGCTTGGTTTTGAACCATCTGTCGCTTCAGACTAAGGCTTTTCATCATATCTCCAGTGCCAAGTAAGAGTTATGTTCATAATCCTTCAGGGAAACCTTCCACTTGCGATAGGCTCCCTTGTTAGTCAGCAGAAAGCGTCACGTGCCTTGTTTAACCTAGGACTTTTGCATTACTGGTGTGCACTCATGTTGAGGTACACTGTATTGAATAGCATTCCAAATGATGCAATCGATTTGATAAGCTGCTAGTAGAAGCACTCTGTAGGGGATGTATTTTGAAGACCAAATATTTGACTCCAATTAGATAGTATGAACGATTTTTATCGAAATATATGTCGTCTATCCTCGTACATAACCACCGACTCAACTCGCATTAGTGCGTAACTGAACAGAATAAACCAAATACAAGAATGAAGTTTTGAATACCTATATTTTGTGCACTCATTGATCAGGACAGACAATTAGAGGAATGATGCGAAGGGAAAAGAGCGAAATGAAATGATATGTAGTAGAGGAGGTTTGTGAGCCAACTGGATTAAATCAAAAGTTCATCGATATTTATAGTCAGACAAAAGTATGTTACAGATATGTGATAAGTTGCGAAGTGCACACACATACACTAACATAAAAACAATCAAGGTTGATAAGCGAATAAATAACAAGGGCAAAATATAGCTCAGGGAGAGTGAACATGTTGGCTTGTCCGCAGGCCAGAATACGTCATGTGGGCTTAACATAACAACCTCACTTCAGCATTCCGCTCTCTAGGATTTAGGAATTAAGTGCTAAAGTTTCCAGCTAGTAGCGTTTGGTCAAACCCCAGGTGTGGCTGCTATGGTATCATCCATATTATCTCTACCTCTGTGGTTTTAGAACCTGTAAGGGACCTACGTATCTCCATAATCAAATACTCTATGCAGTCCAAATTGAAGCCACGCTAGCATGATCCTGTCACCTCGGTTAAATCAACACTGTACGATCTCACGGTTTTAAAGTGGCCAGTGATGAATTTTACCACTTCACCCCCGTTTTGTGTACCATATTGTATCGAGAAGTGTTATGCCTTGCATTCTCACCTTTCATCTGTAATGTTTCGATCAAGACCATGATTTCTAGATCGAACCGAATGCATAAGTTTTGATTTCTGCCAGTATACTCTCTAGACCTCTCATCTTGCTAAGGAGGCACTTGATGACTTTTTATCAGCTGGTGCTTCACCACAGCAGTATAAGTCTTTTTAAACAGACTGTTTTCTTAAGTTCCTTGAGTATTTTCATCGGAATTGGACACTGTTGTTCTTTGTCTGCATTGTATGTTCCATAAGCAGACCGTGGTTTCTGTGTCCCCGACTGTGGGTTGTTGATCAAGGTCAACCGTAATCAAGATGTGTTGTTAGGCTTTTCTGCTTTCACCTTACCGCTTCAGACCTGCTTTCGCGACACCTGACGTGACCAAATAAGCCGCGTTCGGAGTTGTACCGTGCTCAGAGGGCCCCAGCTAAGTCTCCGTTTCTGAAATCCGTGGGCATTAGATGCAGAGACCCATTGGTCGTGACGTGTAAGGAATGAGGTGTCAGGAGCACTCTAATTATTATAGTGGTGTAGTGGCTTATGATATTATAGTGACTCACGTGCAATTGAGTTTAGTTCAGTCAAGGTCTTTTGTTGACCTATTTAATGGACAAAATCATCCATGATATAACAACTTGTTGTATTATCTTTATTATTATGCTTGTATGAAATACATATGCTTGAACATTGTTTAGCGCCTACGCATGTATTCATTCTGCTAGCTTCATTATTAACTGCTTAATCTATTCGCTGACTCATCCATTTTCCTATACATATATATATGTGTACATTTGCACCCATCCCTACTACTACTACTACTACTACTACAACTACTTGCTACTGCTACAATCGTAGTTCGCTTGCTCATTCATTTTGCCTCTCTGCTGTCTGGTCCGAATTATCTACTAAATAAACTGTAGTAGCTGCTTCTATTTGCCTTCTGATTTCAAACATCGTTGAAGATTATACGATAACGGTTCGAGGGTGATTAATTAACGAAGCACAGCCACTACAGAATTGGTAATCCCGACGTGAGAACGGGAAGCGAATTTTGACGAAATAATCAAATTCCAAAAATCCGACTACCTTCATCTCAATTTGGATTATTAAATGAACTATAATTACAACTGTGGATTTATATTATTATTTTAATTACACTTACATTATTTCGCAAACATTAAACGTGACAATTATAATCATAATAAATAACAATTATTCATAAACAATTGATATATTGGTGCAATTTAGTAAGTCTGTTCCATTTTATAAATTGTGCCATTTTTTTATTATCATTGTTTTCACCCGTCTATTTTTCCTTGTGATTGTTAAAGTATTTTCGTGTGCTACTTAATTTTTATAAGCATGTCTTATGAAAACACAGTTTCAAGCGTACAGCAAGCCTCGTCCGTGAGGTCTCTTAACCTCCCTGCCCCTTCTTTTAAAATCGCAGACCCAAAACTTTGGTTTATAAGACTTGAAAATTATTTTCTCGCTAACCGCATTCTTTTGCAAAAGGATAAGTTCGGCCTGACAAGCACACTACTCCCAGACGAAGTAGCTGACAGCGTTCGAGAGGCACTAGCAAAACCAGACACAGAAAAACCATACGACGTGCTAAAAGAGGCTGTAATTAAAACTCTCTCTCTCAGTGACCAACAAGCCGTCGAACAACTTCTTAACCAAGTACAAATGGAGATAGAACCCCATCACAACTAAAAAATTATATGAAAAGTTTACTTGGCGATAGACACATTGACAATAATCTCTTTTATCAACTGTGGCTCCGCCGACTCCCTGCAAATATACAGCAGATCCTAGCTGTGGGAGATACGGATGCTGATTTAGACAATATAGCAAAGATAGCCGATAGAATATACGAAAGAAGCAAGCAAGCAAGCCCTCCACTACACAATGTGACGGTAGACGATAGACTTGATACTCTACAGAAGGAAATAAATGTTTTGTGCCGAAAACTCTCAGAGTTAACGCAGAGAGAAAAGCCACGAAGGTCATCGCGAGATCGTTCGCGTGAAAGGACCCGGTCAACTTCTAGACGACGCACAACTCCCGCGATATGTTGGTATCATCAAATGTTCGGCTACAGGGCCAGAAAGTGCCTACAACCTTGTAGATTTAACAGGAATAGTAACCGATACCCACGAGTATCAATGGCAACAGCATCAACACACATAATGCCTGAAAATAGTCGCCTCTTTTATATACAAGACCGGACCACTGGCGCACAATTCTTAGTTGACACTGGAGCGGAAATTAGCGTAGTACCTCCATTTAACGAGGAAAGAAAAAACATTAACCCGTCGTTAGTGCTAAGAGCAGCAAACAAATCAGATATTAAGACATATGGTAAACGGAAATTGTCCCTAGATTTTGGACGTGGCGCTTCATACCGTTGGAACTTTGTCATAGCAGACGTATCGATGCCCATAATAGGCATAGATTTCTTATGTAACTTTGACCTGCTAGTAGACTCTAGACGACACAGACTTATAAACGGCAGTCAAACCACTTCGATAAGAGGAATACTTACGGAAGCCGTTTCAATGAACCTTGTGATAGATAAAAGTTGTGGTGATCCATATAAATTGTTGTTAAGGGAGTTCCCTGAACTCGTAAAAGTAACATACAATAAAGCGGATCTCAAACATTCTATTCAGCATCACATCGTAACGAATGGTCCACCAATCAATGCAAGACCAAGAAGGTTAGATCCCAAAAGACTAGCCATCGCAAAACAGGAATTCGACAAGCTAATGAGGCTAGGCATTATAAGGCCATCGAACAGCCCGTGGGCATCCCCGCTACATATGGCCCCGAAAAAGAATGGAGAGGTTAGGCCATGTGGGGATTACAGAGCACTAAACAAACAAACGGTAGCTGACAGATATCCTATACCGCACATTCATGATTTCACCTACAGTATAGAAGGCACTACTATCTTCTCGAAGATCGACTTAGTCAGAGCATACTACCACATCCCTGTTGCCCCACAAGACATACCGAAGACAGCAGTAACAACCCCATTTGGGCTATATGAATTCCTGCGTATGCCTTTTGGACTGACTAACGCGGCACAAACCTTTCAGCGGTTTATCGACCAGGTCATTAGAGGTTTACCTGGGGTATACGCGTATATCGACGATTTATTAGTAGCTAGCACCACTAAGGATGAGCATATACAACAACTACGGCAATTATTTATGCGACTCAGAGAACACGGCATTTCTATAAATATTGAGAAGTGTGAATTCGGAAAAGAATCTTTACAGTTCCTAGGTCACAATATAACTTCTCAAGGCATCACACCAATAGCAACAGAAGTCGACGCCATTAGGAATTATCCCCTACCCGACTCATGGAAAAAGTTACGCCGATTTCTCGGGTTAATAAATTATTACAGACGATTTATCCCGAATTGCGCGTCAATATTGCAACCACTAACAGATGCATTACGCGGAAACGCACGGACATTCCAATTATCACCAGACGCGATCCAAGCATTCGAGAACGCTAAAAAAGCACTAAATAAAGAAGTGACACTAACTAGACGAAAGAGCGAAACACCGTTAGCTATCATGACGGATGCATCAGACGTAGCGGTAGGAGCCGTTTTACAACAATTAGTAAATGGCATATGGGAACCGCTCTCATTTTTTCGAAAAGACTGAATCCGACACAAACAAGATATAGTACTTTCGGAAGAGAACTCCTAGCGATTTACTTGGCAA